GGGAATGGCGTAATTTCAGCAAAATTGGTTCAACACAAACACAACTGTGGCCCGATCATGTTTCATGAATTGATGAAGCTTTCATCCAGCGGGGATCGATCAAGGCTGATGGTGATGATGAAGAGCTCCACGTCTGTGCTAAACAACAACAGCAACAACAGCAGCGTTTAACATCACGATCAGGCCATCTCTCTTAAAGTGAGCCCGTCGACGATAGAGTGGTAGCATGCTGATGATGATAGTGTGGAGTCGGTGTCTCATTCCCAAGTAAGGTCACCCTGGCCGTGTGCTTGCCCATACAAGGAGTTGTGCAACAGGAATCATGGAAATAATCGCGATTTCGATCACAGGGTTAATAGTCCCAACCTCAAACACACGACACCTCAACCTCACGGGGCCACGAGTCAAACCTCTCTCGCCACAACGCCCCGCCAGCACGCCACGAAGACTTGGTGAAGAGCTCCTTGGACCTGCAGTGTTTGTCCTTCACACCCAACAGGTCCCTAGCTACAACACAGGAGCTGGTTGATTTGGGAGGTAGAGGCTTCCTTTATATAGCACGTGCGAAGAAAAACAGTTGAACAGAAATTTGTTTCTTGAGGGACGATAATATAAGAGACTGCGCTGGCGGTCGTGCGGTTTATTTAACAGAGGAATTGGCCAAACATCCCCTGTGGCAGGACCCTCTTGATTAACGGGCCTCGTGACTCTGAGGTTTTCCTGGCTACACAATTTGTATGACCGCATTGCACAAATCTGCGCACACGACCACCACCGCGGCTAGAAGTTGACTACTGTACTGTATTGTAGGCCGAGCCGGCCTAGGGGGGATGGGTGGGGGTGGTGGGTGGCGAAGGCCAAGTTGAAATGCCAAGGCAATTCACGGGGCCAGGAATCGAACCTGGGGTCGGGCGGGGGGAGGGTGGTGTTGGCTGCCTGGGGTCGAGACCGCCACTCTCACGTGGGAAATAAACTGAGCGCCTCCCGTCAGACGCTTCAACTGCGGAGGGGGTGGAGGCTCGACAGGGAACGGGGGGGGGGGTCGCGTCACGGGGAGGGGGTCTCTCGAGCTTCTCGCGGGGTCACGACCCCGCAAAAACAAATTACGGAGCGGTGCGCTCAGCGGGGGGGGGGGGGGGGTATTGTTTTGGGTTTAATCTTCCTCGCGGGAAGCCGAGCGAGGAGCAGAGGAGTGACCCCGACTCTGACCCGAGCCGGGACGGCCCGTAGCCCGTACACTGCAGGCATCAGCCAGCAGTGGATTGCGCAGGTGACGCCTGCGTGCGACTGTAACAACGCCCCACCCCCTGCACTGTGGATCGAGTTCAGAGTCACGCGGTCGGGTTGACTCGACTCTCGTGTGCGTGATGGTAGCAGCAGCGTGGTTCAGGAGCCAATGTAGCGGTCCTGCTGGCCATGGCGGAAGAGCTTCAGCAGAGAGAGATAGTTCGCGTCGTTTTTCTGCTGTTGCTCCTCAGCTGAAGGAGCGCAGACCACAGTGGATTGACTGTGCGGTCCATGGTGTGGGTTGCAAGTCTACAATCGCATCACTGTGGCGGTGTCTTTCAGCTTCTCATTTTAAGGAGACGTGGTTCAGCACCGGCCTGTTGGTGTTCTAATGCAGTCGATGGTTCCACCGGTGACTTCGAGGATGAATGTCACAGCCAGGAGGCGGGGCGATATTTGGGTCTCGAATGCGGGGTTTATTCTGGACGTCCACGTTGATTTTATGATTCAGCACTCTGATTCACTCTGTGATTCACTCCACTCCCTCGCTCACCGGCAGCAAGTCGCACCCTTATCACTCTGATATCGCCGCTATTAACATGGTTCCTGTTCCATGTGAACTACACTCGTTGCTTCCTCCACCCATGATGGGGACTCGGTCTACCAGACTCACTGTTTCGTCTCATCCATCGCACTGTGGTCAACCACCACATTGGCGGGCACAACAACTCACTCACCCAGCCACTCAGTCACCCAACCATCCACTCACCACACTGCAGGTCCCAACACTTCCCTGCTACTTCTTTCCTCGCGCTGCTCAATCAAGGGAATTCCCTCCCATCATAATCTCTTTGCCCAAGTTCCTGTCATAGTAACCTTGCTTTTAATTCAATAAACGCGCAACGTTCTTCTCTATTACAACTATGACAGTGCTGCCTGTTGCTGGCCGCGTGACGTGTTTGGCCTGTGGAACTGCGCGCGGCACACGTGCTCCAAAGGGGAACGCTGAACGCGATGCTAAGCCGATTCCACACCTGAGCGATCGGCTGTGCAAGTAGGTTGCGTACAACTAGATCGCTTACACCTGTACGTCTCCGCAACCGGTCGTTCACAGTAGACTCCAATTGCGAGCGTCAATTTCCTCAGAGATTTTAGCGACGCATTTCATTGGGTTGTTACGATCCTGAACTGCACGCGGTCTAATTTCTCTTAGCGCGCAACTACGCGCTCTGATGTGGACAAAGCGGTTGTGCACGCGGTGAGCCAACGGCGAGAGTTGGTTGTGCAACTGGTGATGTCCTCGTGCGTGGACCGGGCACTTCAAGCCGTCAAGTCGCTCGCACAAATCCCTGGCGTGGAGTTTCCGTGCATCACATTCTGGACAGAGCGAATGCACTCGCTCGACTCCTGATTTGTGGTCATTATAACCCTCTTTGTGCCGTTTCACTGTAGCCAGCCGTTCCATTATTATATACGGTTTTCATTTCAATTTATTTTTTTGAAAAGGCCTTGATTTGCAAGGGGGCTTCTTGAACGGCTGCATCCGTTTCCATTGAATCGAATGCTTTTTCGTAATCTACACAAGCCAGACAGAACGGGTCCTTGTAAATCCAAGCCTTTTCCCAGGATGTGATTGATAGTAGGAAATGTAATGTGGTCAATTGTAGAAACGACTTGTATAAATCCAGTTGGCACACGTGCTTTGGCTGGCCTCGTGACTCGGTTCACTGTAATCCTCATGAACAATTTTAGATGGGCCAAATAATGGGGTTCGTAATTCTTCAAATCTGTTCCGTCTCATTTCGAAATCATTCCACGACGGAAGCGTTCCACACCAGGTTAAAGGTTAAGTAGATAGGGCCGCTAATTTTGATCCAAAAGCTTCGCCCGATTCCTTGTGTCCACAAGTAATCCCGAATACTAATGTGACCGATACCGGCCAAAACATCCCACAATGGTGGAAATTTACCCTGCAAATTACTCAATTGAGATCATACACCGAAGCAACGTTGCCACCCCCTTCCATGAAAACTTGGCAGGACCCTCCTACACAAAGAGCCAGATACTCGACGAGTCTTCCCCCCTCGAGTACACACGCGTAATGGTGATGCTAATAATTCCATCCCTGGTAAACACGCGTAATGATGATGCTAATAATTCCATCCCGGGTAAACACGCGTAATGGTGACGATTCAATCTAGACCAAGAGCTTTCCCTTGTTCGTGCTCTGAAGGGCAGGGCGGGGGTTGCATTTTGCAGTCTGACATTTCAACGCAGCTCCTTACCTGAAATAATGATTTGTTTCCTGCAGGACACGTCTTTATTTTATGCTATAAAGATCTGCATAGAATGGCTCTGCTGGATTTACGATTCTGTCTCTCTCTCATGCATTACGGCTCATTCTCAATCTCCAAGGGCGACTGCTCGCGAATTACAAACCAACTTCCAATTTGGCCCATTGTTTGCCTTACGGAATGATTACATTTGCTGTGTCTCCTAATTTTCCTCTTTTATTTACCTCACGGTTTTACAGAGTTCGGCGGAGCAAAGTTCGCTCAACAAAAGTGAACAATTGTTGGGAGGAACGCAACTTGAAAGTGCACGGCAGATTAAGTGTACCCAGGGCAATCGCTGGAGGACCGTAAACCGAATTTGGGCAGAGGGGCAAGCGAACAAGAGCCAGGGGCTGGAGTGTTCGTGAAGAAATTACATTTGGCAACGAGAAGCAAGTTGGCGACAAGCTTCAAAACCCACAGTTTTGCATCGGTGCATTGTTCCCCACGAGGACGGACAGATCTGATGCACGGACATCGGCAAAGAAGTCGGAACGAACGCTAGAAATTGCGCAAAGCAGCATGGAGGTGAATGCTTGGACTTCTAGCGAGAAATATCGTCGCCTGTTCACGAAAGGGGGCTTGGGCAGAACGCATCGTGAATACTGGACATCTGTGAAAAATGGCTTTATAGCTCATCGGATTCCTCCAGTATACATAAATATTCCGATTCTGTGGCCGGAGGAGAAGAAGGGCGAGGTCCAAGGCCGTTGACCACGGCGGCCGTAGCGTGCCACACACAGAAAGGACGGCCACAGCAGAGATGCAGCGGCGATGTCAACGTTCAGCTGCGAGACGGAGTTGCGGCATCCCATGACCGTGAAGAGGTGGCGACCGCACAGGGAATCCATGCACCACTGGATAGAATGTGGCGGATGATGGCTCTCCTCGGTAAGCAAACGTAAGATTATAAAATGATATATCTATAAATATAAAGGGGAAATTTGTGAATGTTTGTTCGAAATGTTTAGCATACTTCCCGACATGCAACAAACTTGAAATTTGGCATGTTGGTAGCTTCCAGACTGTACACAATGCAAAAAGTATATTTTGCACGGCAAGTGAGCGGTGACGTCATATCTGTGATGTAACCCGCACGCGGCAGCGTCACACAGTGTGCCTGCTGACGTCACGCAACCCCCCCTCCCCAACCCTCCCTGTAGGCCGTCTATTAATCCAAGACAAGAATCCAAGTCTCGGGCGAGCCGGGTAGTAGAGCTAGTGTCTGTATATAAGACCGCTTATTACGATAGTGGGTTGATTGTATTGAGTTTGGTGAATGAGAAATCCTTCTGAATGAAACGTTTAACTTAGCTGCCTTTAAGTTCTGCAAAGGTGTCTAATTTCTGCTTTGGTACTTGCTGCTGGGGGGGGGCTCGCCCCGTCCCCGCTCGCTCCTCGCCACGCCACCCATCAATCAACGAGACGCGCACGCGTGGGCTCGTGCCATTTCACACGCCGTACGTTTATATATTAATTCAGTGCATGTGCCATCGTGTGAGGGTACAACAATCGGAACACATAAAATCTAAACCCGCGAACATCGCACAGGCCACCGCCGGCAAAGCCCACGCCGTGGATCCAAACCCGCCCGCTCGGCTCGTCAACGTTGCCGCGGCAACGTCCGCGACGAGGAGGGCGACTCCGCCGCCCCCGTGGGGGACGCGCGAGCGCAGGGCGCGACAACTCCCACACGCCGCTCGCGTCGTCACGGGCCTCGTGTTACGCGCGCTTTGTTTTGACAAAACACGCGGCGGCCGTGCGGCCTTATCGAAGCGTGCACGTCTCTCCGATGACACGCGAGCGAGCACGATTAAGTGTCCGCGTCTCTCGTGTGCGATCGTGTGGCGAGCGGTGGCACAGTGGTTAGCGTGCTGTGCCGTGAACCCAGCGGAAAGCTGCGTTAGATTCACGGCCAATATCGGTGTTGTTCGATATCTGAGCCGGTCAGGGGCCTCCCCGAGCTTGACACGGACTCGAATGCGTGTTGCGGAGTGCAAACTTCGTGAAAATGGAGATAAAGGCGTGGGTCAGGCCACATCACCCCATCGTGAACCGTTTTGGCCGTAATAGGTGCTCACTAATAGCACCTGTCCCACTTGCCTGTAATGATAGGGATCTTTGTGTGTCACCGCATGTCTGACTGTACGTGGCCCAACGTGCGTGTCTATTGTCCGTATGTATGAGTGGTGTGCGATTAGGTGTATGTACATGTGCTACTGTGAGTGATGGTGTATCTGCGTGCTTGTATGTGTGTGATTGTGTGACTGTGTGTTTAACTAGACGCAACAGTATCTGTGTGCATCTGTCAGCCATCTCAGTCATTTAACCCGTCACACCCGGCTCTGTCCCGACACCAAGCGCGCCCTCAAAGTGCATCTCGCCCGGCACGAGTGCCGCTGTGACGTCATCGCCACTTGGTGGCAAATGGTGGCTGTTGTTGTTATTGTTGTGCATCTTGAACGTGTGTTTGTGTATTGTGTGTGACTGGGTGGGTCTCACTCGTGATTGCTCTGCATGTCTTGTGTATGTACGACCGTTACTGCGCGTGTCTGTGCTTCTCATCCAACAAGTGCCTCCTCTATGCGCGGCAATGCCTGTGGCGCAGCAGGAGTTTTTCCTCAGGCAGCGGAGAGAGTAGGCCCGGGCACTTCGCAGCCAACTCCACACTGGCAGCAGCAACAGCAGCAGCAGCAGCAGCAGTCAGCCACTCGACGATGGCTCCGTCTCATGTCCAGCGAGCACTACACCCCGGCGTCCGCACTGGCTGTGCTGCTGGGCTGAGACAAACTTCGCTCCTCTGGGGAGTCGATAGACGGACTGTCCGTGAGCCCCCCCTCGGAGCTGTGTCCCGACCCCAAGCGCCCCACCTTGGAGCTCTGCCCTGCGATCACGAGCCCCGGCTCGGAGCTCTGTCCCGGGTCCATGGTTTTGTCGTCAGAGCTCTGCGACGTGAGCGAGGCTCCGAAGTGCAGCGAGGGCTCGGAGGCCGTGGGGGAGGAGGGCCCCGCGCTCGACACCGCGCTCGAGGGGCCGCTGCTGCCTGTAAGGGTCACGCAAAGTCAGGGTCAAGCTAAGGGCATGGCAACCTCTGCGTTTAATACGAGCCCAGGGTAACTCCACAACATGGCGCACGGAGAGTCGGATGGCAGGAACACGGCACCCGTAATAAGATTACTCCGGAAGGCACTGCGGAGTCTCAAGGCTCCTATTCAAGAGAGCGCTTTCTCGGGTGTGTGCCACCGTGCGGAACTTCCACCACTGGCTCGAGCTCGCCCGTGGAGACGAGCACCGCCCCACGCGCTCTTGGACGAGCGTTTCGTTTTGGCGCCGATTGGACGTCGCTATGTTTTCTCTATTTGCGTGAGAGCTGCTCCTGCGGGGCGAGCGCGGCTGATGAGGGCAATAAGCATTGGCGCACACACGGCCGTGGCGTTTTAACGCGACGCCTCGTTAGCGGGAAGAGAGGGGGCATGTGTGGGCCCGTGAGCGAGTCTGGGCCTGCAAGGGTGAGTGGGTGTGTTCGTGCGTGCGAGTGAGTGAGCGAATAATGTCTTGTGAGGGAGGGTGAGCAAGGGTGAGGGTGAGCAAGGATGAGCATGTGTGAGTGCGTGCGTGTGTGAGTGCGTGCATGCGCTCGAATGATGTCGAGCAAGGGAGAGTGAGAGGAGGGAGAGGGTGAGCGAGGTAGGGCGAGTGAGGGTGAGCAGGGGGGGGTGTGTGTGCAAGTGAGTGATGTCGAGCGAGCGAGAGTGAACGAGAGCGCGAGCGAGGAGCGAGGGTGAGCGAAGGCGTGCGTGCGTACACCAGGGCGGCTTGTCGCTGCACGGCAGTGGCAGGGAGGATGGCGGGGAGCGGCGAATGCCCGTCGACTCCCCCTGGCACCTGCACGGGCAGCTGCGACCACCTGCACGCATGCGGGCCGATAGGCGAGCGAACGGCCAGGTGAGCAGTGGGACAGGTGTGCCGGTGACTCGGTGAGTGGACAGCAGAGCAAGGTGAGCCCACGTTAAGTTGAAAGCCTGGATGGGTGGCTGAACAGGTGAGCTCATGGACATCCGAGTTGGCAGTGAGGTGTGTGAATGGGCATGGCGAGCGCATCAACAGATTACCGTTTGGCGAACAAATGGGCAGATGGGCGTGTGGTCAGGTGAGCAGACAATCGCATCACCGGGCAGCTGGGTGAGCCAATGGATAGCCGTGTGAGCAATGAGCGGGCGACCAGGGGGCACGGTGACCTCGCGTGTAACTAATTCACCGGCGGCGCTGGCGGCGCAGCTCAGGTGCGTGACGGTGGCGAGGAACGCGTCCATCTGCTTGAGGGAGAGTGAGTTGTGCAGCGTCTCCAAGGGGCAGATAGACGGCACCATGGAGTAGCCTTCAAAGCCTGCACAAGGCACTCAGCACACACACGGCACTCAGCGCTCTCGCGGATCTCAGCACACACATGGAACTCGGCACGCACACGGAACTCAGCACGCACACGGAACTCGGCACACACACAGAACTCGGCATACTCATGGCGCTCAGCACTCAGAACTCAGCACACACCAAACATAACTCGGCACACACAAAGCACTTGGCACACCAGCAGAGCTCAGAACACACATGGCACTCAGCACACACGGTCACAAACACCCATACACACACACTCCGCCCTCAACAAACACGGCACTTGTCATGCACGGAGCACTCAAAATCAGCTCTCGGTGCTCCACAGATTATAACTCTCAAGCCCCACACAAAGAGACGAGGGCCCTCCAGAGACACACGGCCTTCAAAGCATAGGACACACAGCACCTTCTCAAAGTCGATCAAACGCTCTGCACATGGCCACATGCACAGTGACACACGCACAAACGCACGCACGCACGGCCAAGAGGCTTGGGCTGCGCTGGGGGCCCACACGTGGCCAAAGTGGCCAGAGATGGCAGCCAGGGGGCCCAGCGCCCAGCTGGGAACTAGGGCAGAGGGAGAGTGTAAGGGCAGGGGGGATCAGGCGAGCCAACCACAAACCCATGCCTTCACATGCCTTCCAGCCAACCTCACAGCAGCCGCCCCTTCAGCCACTTGCATAGCCATTCCCACACCGTCACCACAGCCGCCCCCATAGCCAGGCAGCTCAGCCCTGGCAGGGCTATAATTAAGCCAAGATGAGAAGATCCACAGCTCCAAACCACGAAACAGCCATCAAGGCTCAAAGGGCTTCGCCCGACCAAAGTGACACAAGACAATACAGTTAGTATTTACACAGCGACTAAATGCAGATGGATCTCAGGAACGCTGTACACAACGCAGGACACGTCCATCACGGGCAACTTCCAAGCAACTGGGACACCCACACACACGTCTGTATTGACTTTTAAACTGTACGGCCACATCGACCAGAGTCACGAGAGGACCGAGACCCGACCCATCTGGGCCGCACCTCGCGGCCCACAAACGCCACCGTTGCCTCGTTCTGCGGGCAGGAACCACAGCATGATGGCCCGGGGACGATCACACGTGGGGGGCCACTGTGGCGGGACCCGGGGGGAAGGGGGGCCCAGGACCCCACCTCCAGCCTGGGCTCCTCCTGGGCGGACCGGGAGGAGGCACGGGGATCGTGCTCGCTTTCAGCCGATCGGCTACCGGGGAGGCCGGACTGCGCTGCTGTACGTTCGCCTCACGAAGCCAGTGGCATGGGCTCGAACCTAGTAGCTGTGGTCAGATGCATCCACACTCACGCGTTCGTAGAAATTGCTTTTCCGCAGATTCGTGACCAAAAATTGGCAAAGTTAGCAGAAAAAATAGAAAAAAGTGAAAACTTGGCCTACGAGGCATCGGCAAGAGTCGCATTTACATCAACACAAATTATGCACGTGATTTGATTTTTCCAATTAGCTTTAACCAACTCTGGATTAGATAGGGGAACGTGTATAATGTGCCCTAACTCAAGCCCGGCTTAACATTACATTTACAGTGGCTACATTATTAAGTTTTCCCTCTTGAGCAATGAGGTTGGGTTCAGTAGAAATTTGGGAGGTCTACGAGGAAGCAGTGGGGTGACGCGTGGAGTCATGGGGCCTTCCTGGCCATGCAGAGCACGTGGCCAGGGTACAACCGACACGGCCAGGGTGCATTTGATCCAGCAGCAACAGCAGCAATGGGCATGACATGCGCCGTGCTAGATGGCGCAGCAGTTCGTGGAGAAAGGGCTCGCTGCCTTGTCTCGGTGAGATGATAGATTGCACCGTCATGCAGAGCAAGCAACAGCAACAGCGGTAACAGCAGACGGCAGTTTCTGGGGAGAGGTGGTTAATGGAAGAGCTTCGGGCAGTGCGCAAGTCAGCCATGCAGGGATTGTAGCGCAGCGAGGAGAGGGAGGGGGGACGGGAGGGACGGGCGGGAGAGGAGACGGGGCGAGCGGTGGGAGAGCTGTGCCGGCATGGATGAGATGGGGACGCGGGGCCTCTGCTGACGAGATCGCCCCTAACGAAGCCAATTAACGCTTGACGTCAATTAAGCTTGGCGCCGGAGTAGTCCGCAGTGGACCGTACCCGTGGCGTGTCGCTCCGCGCTCGATCTCGTTAGGAGGCTGTAGTTGACTCCACAAAGCCGAGCGTCTACCCCCACACCCTGCCACGAATGACGATGGTAATGGACGGTAAGGGTTGGCGGGGCGGGGGGGGGGCGGTGTGGGAAGGAGGAGAGGAGGGGAGGCGGGGGGGGCTCGGCGAGCGGGGTGTGGCCACGCCGCCCGCGCATACCCCCGTAGAGGCAGGCGAGCAGGTCCAGGTTGGAGATGGACCAGCGCTTGAGCAGCTTCTGGTGCTCGGAGCAGTGGCACAGGTGCTGCAGCAGCGAGCTGTCGGCTGTGCCGCTGCCCTGGGACAGCAGGAACAGCAGCTCCTGGGGGATGTCTGTTGGGCCGCGGGGGTGGGGCCAGGAGGGTGAGGGGAGGGGTTGGAGGGAGGGGATGCCAGGAATGGGGGAAACGTTAGGGTAGGAGGTGAGGCCGGAGGGGTCAGGTGAGAGGGAAGTGATAACTGCCCCACAGGAAGCGACGGTGTTAGGAAAGGGAGGCTTCGGGGCCATAGAGACCACGCGGAACCCACGCACGGGCCGGGTTCACACGTTCGCGTGTCAGCGCGTCTGTCTCTATGGTCTCGGCTGCAGGATGGAAACAACGGGAAGCGTCCACAACCCAGGGCGCGTCTGACAAGGCAAGGGTCACGTGACCCCTCAAAGCGGAGGTCACATGATGACCCCCCCCCTGGGCAGACCTGGAGATGAGATTCAATCTGGAAGAAGCGCGCAGGGAAGTGCCCATGAAGCCACGAGCGAAACGCCGTGACATAAACGTGTGGAACCGCACGGCAGCACGGAAGACAACCTGAGTGACAGCATGGGAGACAGCACGGGGTGACAGCACGGGGTGACAGCACGCCGTGTGTGAGGACAGGGCGTGTTTAGAGATTGCAGAATAAGTGGGACAGGTGCAATTTTTGGTGCCAACAGTACAGGGAGGTTAACGAGTGGTGCGGGAAAATGGAGAGGCCCGGCTTTGATGGGAGCTTACAGCCAGCGGCTTTGGGCCTTTCTTTAATTGGTGCCTGCCAATCACGTCCCCGCCCTGGGGCCATGGCGACAGGAACCATGGCCTCCACGCAGCCTCACGCGCGCTCTCTCACACGCCACCTCCGCAGTCCTCTCCTCCTTCCACCAAATTCCCCTCTCCTCCCTACTGCACCATGCTGGGCCCCCACTGCCTTCCCCCAATGTTGAGCTCCTCCCCCAATTCCCATGTGGCACCCCCCACCCCCGTACCCACCGGCACTCGTTAATGCTGTGTGACCTGAGATCTGAAGCCGTGAAGCTGCAGTCTCGGCCACATGTCTGGAGGCAGTGGCAAATGTCGAAGTAGCGAAATAGGGTCGGCATGGAGACGAGTGGTGACCAGATATCCGGAGGCACACCCACCCACAAGGTACAACCACCGTCACACACACAGATCCAGCCAAAACACACCACATGCTCACCTAGACATACGCACACTGGCAACCTTCATCACTACGGTCAACACAAACCCTCGCACAGCCTCTACCCCAAAGGCAGGAAAACACCGCGTTCGTTGTGGTGCTCACAATTCAGCCCACGCCGCACGTACACCTCCGCTCAACACCGCTGTCGACCACCGCTGTGGCACGCAGAGACGTCTTTGCTCACCGATCAGCCGAGACCCAAGGTGACGAGCTCAGTGACCTCAACTCCAGGCCACCAGGCACAACACTGCCCCCTACCTTGTCCACGCTGCTCAAGTCACGTCAGCCTGTGGTGAGCCAAAGGGGTGAGGTGTGCTTGCGCACACCTCGCTCGCCCGTGGCCGGGTGCACACAATCTCACGGGTGGCATGCCGAAGCGTGTGTGCGCGTGTTCAAAAGTGCGGTTAAGTTCGTGCTGCGAGCGGGGAGTTATGCGAGGTTAAAAAGTTGCGGCTGTGTTTGCGAGGCTGCGTGTCGTCGTCGCTGCTGGTGACAGAGGTTGTGGGTGTTGAGATTGCTGCCGGTGTGGTGACTGTGAGCTCGGTTGTGTAGGAAGCAGTGCAGTTGCGAGCGGTTAGCGACAGTCCCCGTTAATCGTTACGGCACGTTAATTAGTCGCCACAGCGGGACGCGACCCACCCCGCCGCGCGACGTCAGTCACAGCCCTCCCAGATCCCGCACGGGCCTCTCAATGTCTCCTGCCGCCCTCAATTTTTCTGTACAGAAATTTCCACTTTGCACCAAGGATGTAATTTTCCCACGTTCCCCGGTCCATTACTTTCAAGCGCAGGAGCACGCCCACGGACCGCGTCAGTGGTGGCGCAGGGCCTCCCCTGCCCCCACCTCCCAGTTCCCGGTTTATTCAGGACCAGTCGGCCAGGCCGTACTCTCGCCCACGAGGCTGCCGCCGTTGTCGATCTGGCAGGGCTGGGGTTAGTCTGTGGCTTGGGTGGTCAAGGCAGAAAGGCAAGCGGACGTACCATTGGTCGGGCAGCAGGCATACGAGATAGAAAACCGCTTTATAGGCGAGCTGCGCAAAGCCTCTGAGGAAGAGAGAAAACGGTGTCTCAACATCCTCGCCGGCCCTGCCGCAACCAAGCGCCGGCGCGAAGGGCGACCCGGGCCGTGCCGGCCGCTCGTCCAGTGTGACCGGGCCACTGGGTTGCTCCTCCCGAGGGGATGCAGCCGGCTCAGCAGGGAACCCCGCATAACACCACTCGCACGGCACACCATGCCGCACGCAACACATCACGCCACACGGCACACACCGTTCAATGCGCGCACAGCACACCACCCCACGGGGCACACCACACTGCACTACAGACACAGCACGCCACATGGCACCAACGACACAGTGCACCACACGGCACACCACCCCACAATATACACACCACATTATATTCTTGGTTCTTTCGGTAAAGTCACGTAGAAGGGAAACAATAAAATTATAAAAATATAAAACAATAAAATTCTCACGACGTTTCGACTGCAACACAAGCAATCATCATCAGGTGTTGTGGTTTTCACACCTGATGATGCTTGCTTGTATTGCAGTCGAAACGTCGTGAGAATTTTATTGTTTTATATTTTTATTATTTTATTGTTTCCCTTCTACGTGACTTTACCGAAAGAACCAAGAATATGAATCCCTGCAGTCACGAAAGCTTTAAATCAAAATTTATACACACCACACTTATTGTACAGCAGACAGTTACTACACCACACGTTCCACTCACCACACCGCACGCACCACACCGCACCACACATCACACCGCATACCCCAACCCTGCATAGCAAATTGCCTCCCTGGCCAGGCCAGAAAATCCTGCCAATTGACTCCTGCAGCAGCAGTAGCTGCAGCTGCAGCAGCAGCAACAGCTGGAGCAGTAGCAGCAGTAGCAGCTGGAGCAGCAACAGCATCTGTAGCAGTAGCAGAATCAGCAGGAGCAGGTTCCTCATGCGTGCAAGCATCTGCAGGGACACATGCTGTATATACACAGTGGGTGAGGATGTACGGTACACATAGATTCAGTGTTAACGCCCTCTGTGGTACCTGGGCCGTGGCGGCTAAGCCCGATGTGTTTGATCAGTTTTCAACCGCACGCAGAAAGTGGGGAAATACAACCCAGAGGTGCGAAATAAATATCACATCAAAGAGGCAACTCCCACAACCACTGGCTGCTCTCCTGTCTTTGTTAGTTTTTCCCTTTCTATAACGGTTTTGTTAGGAGGTGTTAGTTATTAAATGAGATCTGTAGGATTACGCGAGAGTGCAACGATGTGTGGGTCCCATGTCGGAGTTCCAACGCGGCACCCAGCATGCCCACCACGCTCCGCCATGCTCACCACATGCACCACGCTCACGACATGCCACGTCACACATACACACCACACCGTGCTCGCCACGTGTGCACACCGCGCACCAAACGTGCCTTGTGCCCACACCGGCACATGCGTGAAGCTTCCACACGTTGGTGGTGCGCGTAGCCGCGCAGGTCGGCGGGCGAGCGGTGGAAAGGTGACCGTGCCACAAGCAAAGCGATCCGGGTTCAGGAGCACGCGTCTACGCGCCCGATTGGGAGTTCCCCCTCGAACACGCAGCCTCAAAACTGCACGCGCCACTAAATCTCATCGTGCCACTGCAGCTACACGTGCTAAGGGCTGGGGTAACATGGGCTAGAGTCGTCGGAATGCACAGTGGTCCCGCTTACAGACGTCCACGTCCAACTACAAGGCCAGCTCCGTGTGAAGCATAGGAGTCTCCTTGCGAGGTGTGTCGTAGTGTTTGGCGTCTGTATGTTGCGTGGAGTGGGGGTGCGTGTGCATGAGTGTATGCTCGTTGTGTGGGGAGCGGGAGTGTGGTGGTTAGCGCGCTGCGCTATGAACTCAACGACGCGAGTTTTATTCCCGCAAATGGCCAACACCAGTGACGGTTATTTGAACCAGTCCTGGGCCTCTCCGAGGTTGACTCAAAAGAGTACCCGGTCCGATGTGTAAATATCAGCACTGGAGAGACAAAGGCAGGCGGGTGTGTTGCTGGCCATACCACCCACTCGTGTACCGTGCCGCCTTCATGGGTGCCTGTTAACGGTACTTGCCTCAGTCTGTGCGCCTATACGGGAAGTCTTTGCGCTTGTTGTGTAGTGCACGGATGCCCAGCTTCAGCGTGGTGTGTATGTGCGTGTGCATGTCCCGCGTGGTGGTTGTATACCATCATGCGTGTGTGTACGGGTCCCCTGTGGTGCGCGACGTGTGTGTGCAGGTCCTGTGTGGTGTGCGCCGAGTGAGGGTGTGTGCGTACCATCGTAATGCAGGGTGGCGGCCCCCAGTTTTTTGCGACTGGCTCGCGCGTAATCCTGCAGGTTGGGGGCACTGGAGGAGCCCCCCAGCACTGCGGTGCTGAACAGACCAGCGCACTGCGACCCTGGCGGCAGCACACATGGGGTGGCGCGGGGCGCAGCACGTGGGCGTGCGGGCAGGGCGGGGGTGGGAGTCGCGGGTGGGGGCGGTGGGTGGGACATGGGGCAGCAGGGGGAGGATGCCAAGGGGGAAGCGGTAGGTAATGGCCGACGAGGATGGCCGGGATGATTGTTGCAAGGTTACGGAGAAGCGGTTGTGAGTGGGAGTTCGAGGGATAAGTGGGTGAGGAGGGGCAGGGGAGGGAGTTTGATTAGAAAATGTGAGTTGGGGAGGATGAGAAGGGGGTTGGTTTTAGATGTTGGATGGGGGGCTGCGCCGTAATGGGAGCGGAGGCTGTTACGTCGGCACCCAGGGAGACGGTGGCACACGGCGGTGGAGCACAGGGCGGCCCGTGTCACCTGTGTCAAGCCCTGGGCCAGCATGACTGCATGATCCCAGCGAAAGCAGAAAAACACTTCTCCTGCCTCTACGAGCGATCGTGAAAACAGCTGAGAGATCTCAGCTGGACTGAGACCGGCAGCAATCGGGGCACGTCAGCCACAAATGCTGGCTGCTCAAAAGCCATTAATGCACTCGTGTTTTAGCAACGGCGGAGCGGCCGAGATCGGCTCGTGGTGACACCGGGTCATGGCACGTTCGAGCTCGGGGCTTGACAACGTCTCGAGTTAATCATCTCCGTGAGTTAATCATCTCTGATATGCAAACGCGGAGGTTATACACGACCAACACATGATCAACACATGCAAATTACCGCTCACACGACGTTAGTCTGACCCGAGGCTACGTCGCCTCTCCGCACCACAGCACCGATGTCCCCGAGTCCCCGGCGCAGGGCACCCTGACCGCCGCGCTAGTGCCGGCGATCGCCACACTTGGCTCTTGCTCCTCCCCAGCTAGCGGCCCTCTCAAAACCCCACCGGAACGGCTTCACTAGGCGCAACTGGGCGCCGTAATCGCGTGTCGGGACTCCTTCTCCCTATGCCGCCCTGGCACATACCCAGGCCGCTGTGCTTGGGCTCCTGGCTGTGCTTGACATTGCTTGCGTGCGTGGCCACGGTGAGCCGTCGTGGGCCGCCTGGAAACGCGGACGTTTCGGATAAAACCTGCGTGGGGACAGAGAACCGGAAGCGCTGCTCATTAGCACGTGGTGCGGCAGAGAGGTGTGGAGAACAGGAGGGCGGTGGGGCAATGGGGATAAATTTAGCAAATTAACTCAAGGCATCAACAACAACAGATTCCACAGATTATTGTTCACGTGCACATGCGTGCACGCACGCCTGTACACTCACTCGCACTCGCTGGAACTGGTTACACGGTGACAACGCCATCGTTAGTGTCAAGGTTATCTTGTCACAGCAAGAGCAGCCAGCAACAAACTCAACGAGCCATCGCAAACGTTTCCGTTACGTCACGGACCTCCGTTAGCCACGGCAACCTCTGGGTGGTTAACGAGCGCCGGCCTCTAGCCATGCAAGCGGCACGCCCGCCGCCTCTCACCGCACACATGCCAAGCACAGGGAACCACAACCGTGACCCGCTACCACTCCACGCGCGCCGCGCCGTCCACACGACGCGGGAAGGGTTGAGCTTCTCTCGGACGTCGGCCGCACGTTGGCAGCGAGCGGGAGTCAGGGATTGCGTGCGTGCGCGAGAGGCGGGAGCGGGGCAGAGCGACGGGGACACAACGCAGACACCTGCTGCCAGGAGGCGAGAATGGAGGAGAGGGCGAGGGATTTTGGGGAGCCGGGGGCGGGGTATTCGGCCGACGTGCTACGGAGCCGCACGGGCGCCACCCACACGCAGCCCGGCTCCGGGCTCAAGCCGCCGTGCAGGGGGTCGTCCTGGGGTCGGAGGTGAGACAGCGATGGGCAGAGATGGCGGAGAGCAGAGAGAGATCCAGGGAGAGGGGAGGACAGAGGAAGAGAACGGAGACAGAAGAGCTGGGTTTCTCTCAAGGGCAACGCCGAGACACTCGGCGCGGAGTACGGACCGTGGCTCACACCACACCACCCCGCTAGGGTCACTTCGTGGCATTCGTGTCTGTGAAACACGTGTGGAAATGGATGCTAGGCATGCACGACATACGGCCCCCATGCGCAGCGGATATCATTACAAAACGTTTCTATGCATTCCCTTTCCAATCAAAAGTGTCGGTTGTGTCTTGCGGGAGGCAAGTGGTCAGGTGTAAGAGGTGACTTACTTCCAAGGAACCGACCTTCCTCGACTTACAGAGGGGTGATCTACGATGGATGAATATGGGGTCAGAGGTCATAGGTCGGCACACCGTGGCATTGTCCACCTCGTCGCGAGCGAGTGGCGCCGCGTCCGGGTCCGGGGGGCCTTGCTGTGGGGGGGCTCCCTCGCTCTGTGGGGGGAGGAACGAGGGATGCGTGGGGGGGGTACAAGCAAATACAGATTTTTATGAGCAGACTCACCTCGCCGAGCGGTGCGCGTGAGATGTGCCGTGGGGGTAGGGGTTGTGTCGGGGTCGGGGAAGGGCTGACCTCACGGGAGGCCGGCCTGAAACCTGACCCCGCCGGGTGGCTGCGCTCTCCCTCGGTGCCCTTGACCCCAGGGCTGAAGTGCAGCTCCACGTGGAAGCGCTCCTCAGAGGACGGGTCCTGCACGCCAAGCGTTGTGTCACGCCGCGTGTTAAAATACCGCACATCACCAACACGACACTCGTGACGACCATGACAATACGTCACAGCACACGACGAGTTCACAAGAAGGCACGCACCAAACACCCAAACAGCACCCATCCTCGCGCACGTCTAGGAGCGCCAGCTAGACCAATATGGGCAGCAAGCTACCTTGTTAGGGTCTTCATAGAGCATGATGACGATTTGCGTCATGTAGTTCAGCTCCGTCACCTCGCTCAGGTAGTTCATCGCGCGCATCCACTGCTCGTCCTTCTCCTCCTGTACCACCACACACATCGCCACCAAACTCAGATTCACCAACAATACCACACGCTCACATTCACTATCATCAACGCCACACTTACATTCATCATCACCACCACACACATTCACTACTATCAATAGCCACACAACCCCACATACACACCACAAACGCACCAATACACCCGTGCATCACCACCACCACAAGCACTCTGATAACATGCACAGCTTCTGAGGGCAGCTAGGTGTGCAGTCGTGAGCATCCATGTGTGAATGCTCGCCACGTGTGCGTGCTCGTGCTCACTGCCATGCGTGTGCGCATGTGTGCACTCACGTCGAGCAGCCCCCCGTAGCGCAGCAGCGACAGCAGCGAGTGCATGTGGCTCTCGCTGGTAAAGTAAAGGCGCGTGCGCACGTGCCGCTCCGGCGACATCACACCGCGCGAGTACCTGCGGCCAAGCACACGGCACGCACCCACGCTCGCACCGCCGCTCTCGACACGGGCACGCCGCCGGCCTGCCGCTAGAGCACGGGCCTCACACGGGCCACGCGGTGGCCGCTCGGCAGGCGGTCCTACTAGCTCAACCTGACGAGGAGTGGGTAGCGTGCCACATCACGAACCCAGGATTCCCGAGTTCAATTCCCACTCACGACCAACAGCAGTGGCCAACATGTGAACTGATCATCAGCTTCTTCTAGGTCGACTCAGCTTTAAACAAGTACCTGGTAGCGTGGAGTTTGAAATTCTGGCCTGAACAGGTCCTCGCTCACAGGACTTGCCGCTACAGTCTGTGAGGTTTACAGGGATCTCTGTATCCTGTTCGTACCTCTACATGTGTGTCACTCCGTGTGCGGGTGCATAGCTGTGCGTGGGTATGTATCTCTGTGTGTATCTATGCGTGTGAGGAGCGGTGGCACAGCGACTTCCAATTTCCGCTGACGGCCGTCAGTGACAAATATCTGAACCAGTCCCGGGACTCTCCTGGGTTAACTCAGCTTTAAATGAGTAGCCTCGTGTGGTAAATAAACATCAGCGCTGGGGAAAGAAAGGGGACCGGGCCACCCCCTCGTGCGCCATGCCGGCTTTCAACGGTGCTTTGTTGTCGTGGTTCGTGTCCACGTGCGCACTTCTCTCAGTGCATGCGTGTGTGCTTACAGTGGGTGCAGCTTGTTGACCGTGTCGTCGTCCTGCGTACGTTGTAAGTCCGACCGGATCTTGCAGATGAGTGGCTGGCAGTAGCTGAACGCAATGTCCAGTTTCTCCTCGCGGCTCAGGCCATACTCCTATGGCAGCCGGCGGAACACATGCATGCACGGCACAAGTCTGGTTTAAAGTTAATTTTGTTTAACCAGGTGAGAAGTCAAGAGACCAGGATGAGTCTCATTTGCAGACCCAGGTCACCAAAATGACCAAAGCTATTTAAATAATTTCAAGTACAACAATGCAATAAACATAAATCAGAACAAAGCGACCGTGGCACACGCCGAAAATATTGCACATATCAACACCGGCAGCCTTTCCCGTCTATCCTGCAGTGTCCTAGCAACACTGCTAAGTGACGGAAAGGGCGTCTGTTGCTCCACAATCGACGAAGAAAACAAAGCCATGGAGCTACGTCAGGGCCGAGTGCTTTTCCGTACGCGTCAGTTAATCAGGAGCTGTCGAGTTCAACGTGCCCTGTCGTATCCAGGATTCATCACCGCTATAATTAGCATCGGCGATCGTATTTCTATCGTGCTGTTCGTATTCAACACGTGTCGTCGCACACCAGTCAGCTGCGTTGAGATCAGCTCCGCAAAGGGTAAATCATCTCATGCACACGCACACACACACGCACACACATACATGCAAGCAAGCGCGTCGCAGCCGCACCTGCGGAATGACGATGTCCGCCAGCGCCTTGGACAGCAGGTGCAGCTCGGTGGTATCCTCCAGGGCCAGTGCGGCGTTGTGCTGCGTGTCGTACTTGATGCAGTCGTAGATGTCGGGGATCTTGCTGATGTCGTAGCGCCCATTTTTCAGCTTGAAGTCCCTCTCCAGCTTGCACCAGCGCCGCAGCATCAGCTCCAGCGTCTCGCTGTGGTACAGCTGGATGTCTGCAAGGAGGGAAGCAGTGCCAAGCTGATGGAATGGTGCTGGCACGGAACGTGTGCTTGGTGGCGGACACGCAGCTTTATTACATTTCACCGTGGCATGATGACATGCGAGTTTCTTCCGTCTCATAACTTGCTTACTTGAATACAAGATCACACTCACAGCACGCATGCCCACACAAACCCACGTGCCCACACACACAAATCCACGTGCCCACACACACAAACCTACGTGCCCACACACACAAACCCACATGTCCACACACACGAACCCACGTACCCACACAAAACTACGTGCCCACACACAAACCTGAAGACTTTGGATCCTCCATGCGCTTGCGGATCTGGGAGGTGAGGCTCTGGATGAGTGTGTACACCTGGTTGCAGGTCTGCACGGGGTTCCGGATGGAACGCATCGACGCAATGACGGAGATGCTGCCTGTGGGAGCCAGCTGGGCACGGCCACCAAAAACACAAAACACCGTGGCACGTTAGCACACAGGGACCAGCCTAACCACCATCAGCAGCTCATGATAGACAACATGAGCGAGCTAGTATACACGGTGGTGGTGGAGAGTGCGCATGTGGGTGAATGAAGTGATGGTGGTTGTAAGGGGTGAGCAAACAGGTATGTATGTTATTGGTGAGTGAGCAGACAGTTAAGTGTGTTGTTGAAAGTGGTGGTGGTAGTGAGCATGTTGTCAGTGGTGGTGGTTAAGAATGTTCAAGAATGTTTTTGTTGTTGTTGTGAGTTTATGGACAGGTATGCTAATGGACAAGTGGTGCGTATGTGAGCAGATGTGTTGTTGGTATTGGTGAATGGGCGAGCAAGCGAGCCGGTGAGTGAGTAGGCGAGCGGGCGAGTGAGCATCACCTTGGTGTAATCGTCATCCATGAAGTCACGGTCCCTCTGCAGGATGTCGTGGAGGCGCTGCTTGACGCGCTGCTGGCACGTGCTCAGCGAGTCATGGTCCGAGTCCAGCAGCCCGTTCATGTTGGCGCTCTTCACCATCTGCACCAGGATGGGCGTCAGCTCCCCCTCCAGCGCCAGCAGGCCCTGTGAGCACACACCACCACAAACATGCATCGGGCACGCGGTGAGTGTGCTCGTGTGATCGCGCAAGCATTGGCATGCGTGTCTATAATGGTATGCTGCGTTCGTCCGCGTGGGTACGTGTGGTTGCCTGTGAGTGCGTTTTTGTGTCTGTACACGTGAACGTGTGGGCACGCGTGCGTATCTCTACAGGTGACTACGGTTTGTGTGTTTGTACGTGTGGCAGCGTATGCCTGCACGCGTGTGCTTACCACGTGTGTGTGGGCCTCACCTTGGCGAAGGCCGCGGCCGTCATCTGAACACGGCCCTCATCAGAGGCGTAGATCTTGAGGTCGTGCCGGTAGGTGGAGTGTAGACGAAGGAGCCCGCAGCCTGGGAAGCCGGCGTAGTCACCTGCTCCCATACACACGCACGTAGACACACACGCACGTACACGCAGACAAGCTCACAAACAAGCTCACGCTCGCATACATCCGAACATACACACAAGCTTGCACAAGTGCATACGCACACATGTACAACACAAAGAGAAAATCCCACACATGTACATACATACAAGCACACGAAAGCAGGTACACAAGCATACACGCACACACAGGCACTCACACAAACACACCACCTTCAAATAAGATGGTGAATCCAGTGCTGAGGATCATGCACATGGCATAGGCAGATGCATGCAAAACACACATGGGCAGTGGCGAATGCACGCGCACGTACACACAAGCACACATAGGCGCACGCTCATGGTAACCTGGACCATAAGCAGGAGCATTTCCAACGAAACGACAGCTTACACAGGACACAAGAATTACACAGGGCAAACGGAATGCAAACACATGGCTTACACACAGAACACAGGGGTGAGTGGACGGACAGCACAAGACGCACATAGAGAACAGGTTTTTTATAGAAGACACAAACTTGGCTGATTTAAAATAAACAGTTTAACACGGAGAAGGCTTTCGTGACTAATATTATCCGTAAGTTTTTTTTAGGTTTGACCGCGTGAATATAAATGTGTCATTAAACTCACCACCACCCAACACAGCCAATTATCAAACTTTGTAATTACCAGCGAAACATCGTACTCGAATTGTAAATGTTGTGGGTTTACTCTCCTACACACCGGTGTGCTGTACTAGTAACACATTGCCATGTTTTATTTACGTGACAAACCTTACTAATTGGCTGTGTCGGGTGGTGGCAGGTTTAACGACACATCTATATTTACGCAATCTAACTCGAATATCCTCTATTATGGACAAAATATACAGACGGCACAGAAGAAATGGCTTACACAAGGAACATTGCGGACTTGGGACTGCTAAGTCCAGGCAAGCAAGGCAGAAGATGGCTTTAACACAAGGCCAGGTGATTCATACACAATGCAGGGCGTTCACAGGGTCTGTCAACAGTTCTATCCTAGAGACGCAAGGCAAGGGTTTTTCTTCGGAAACTTTGAACGTTATCCCATTTTCGAAGGCGGCAGTATGCGTGCCCTTGACTTTCCGAGTCATAAATCCTGCGGCACAATAATTGATATTGAAATCTCGACGGGTTATTTAATCACTCCCGCATGCGAATGTAGCAAATGTTTTACGAGCCGTTCAGCGGGAGACAATAAAAAATAAAAACACGACGCGGAAAATGTGGAACCTATCACCGCACAAAACGTCTTTTACTGCCTCTAGCATTACTTTCATCACCATTATTTTTATATATATACACATAATATATGGCGTAACGCTACACATGGACATTGCAGGAGTGAGTTGTATGAAAGCAATATCCAGGGGGCATTAAAACTGCGGTATTATACAGGAGAGCAACGCAGTGTGCATTGCACAGGGGAGGGTTGGAGACACCGAGCACAGCGCGCGGGCAACGCTATCACGCCGAGAGCCAGCTGCCACCCTGCCACCGTCACGTGGTCACCCTGCGACCCTGCCACTCTGCCACTCTGCCACCCTGTAATTATATCACTATGCCACCCTGCCACAATGTCACCCTGCCACCTTGTCATCCAGACATCCAGTCACCAGAAGTCAGGCATTTCCAGAGTAAAAAAGAAATCAAGTGTCTCCCTGCTCAAACAAGCTCAGGATAATGCTAGTCTGCTTGGTGGTATGGTGACCATTCCACATACCTATGACGGGGACCAGTGTATTAACAAACAAAAAACACTTGATTTCCAACAAAGTCATTTTATCATCCATCGCCGGGGGAGCAGAGGTCTACAGTCAACCAGCGACCATGAGCGAGAGACGTCATTTTCCACACGAGAGTTTGCGTGCGAAATGGTGTCTCTACGGCTGCAGTGCTGGGCGGCACTCAGGACAACTCCTAACGGGTGCCATGAGCGATGATGTGGGATGCCCGTCCCAAGGGGGGTCTGAGATTAGTACAAAAGACCGGGAGGGCAGAAGGCACGGAAGAAAAGCTCCTGGAAATGTAAATAGAGGGCACAAGAGCGAGAGTGAGTGCTCACGCCTCCCGTGTGAGCGAGCGTCAGGGAGAAGGGCTGCAAGAGGAATTGATCGTTAGGAAATGGCTCCCTTGGGAAAAGCCCCGTTAAGGCAAACGGTTGTTAAGAGCCGCCTCTGTCACGTCGCGCATCGCGAGCGTGCGCGTGTGCGTGCACACCGGGCGAATCACACCGGGTTAATGGGAGACGGAGGGAGGGAGAGGCGGTGCAAGGGAGAGACGGAGGGACGGAGAGGCGGAGGGAGGTGGAGAGGGACAGAGAGAGGGCTTACCGCAGCTGATAGGCGACTCGCACCCACACCTGCCTCTACCCTCCACTAAAAGGTCACACAGGAAAGGCACAAGAGGTCACGAGGTCAGAAGAAAGGTCAGGGGTTATATGTTTGTGGCACGGAGGTGGCGATACCGCAGATATAGCCGAGCCGCATGTCCCAGGGCACGGTGACATCAGGTTTGCCGCTCACAGGCGAGGGGGTCACATTCACGCTCACGGCACGGGGACCCCGGATCCCCCACTGCAGTGTACAATGGCAGTGCCGACAATTTAAATGTCCTTCCTTGTTTCTGATGACCACCGCCTCTAAAATTGGACACCTCATATACACACTTGAAAACCTCATATTTCAAGTGAAACACTATTTCACTTGAAATACAATTGTATCTCGATTCTTCTTTCCAAGTGCGAGCAACGTTGTTATGAAACGAGCATGGGGTGGCATTCACCCATCTTGGTAGCCCTCAGCCAGTGGTGGAAATTCCACATTCCCACGGCGGTTGGCAGTCTCTCCACAAGACGGCCACTGTTGACGTCTCCCGAAGTGGAACATACTTTATTAACCCCACAGAGTGAATCGGCTGAGCTGACTTCCAACTCGAGATTTCAATTCTCAATCATCAGATTGCCAGTAAGGTAGTCTCAACACAGCGCCGTCTGGCTCCATCCACAGCGCTACGCAGTGTTTTGACACATTACAAAACTAAGATGGATCTATTCTATAAACACACAAGCTGTGCAGGGCTCAGAGGGACCGCGTTAATGACTCAAGTGTGGCCGCTGCCTTGCTATGTCACAACCCGGCGCACCGAGATTAAGGTTTTGGCACGCAGCGAGAGAGCTGCGTTACCAGCAACGCACACCGTCGTGCAGACAGACGGACAGAAAACCAACAAGCGTCACGTGACGACGGACGAGCGGGCCAGCGGCGCGGACGGACAGCCAGTGGGGGGAGCGTTTCAGACACCACAAGAGAAGGAGTGCCCTTCCGGCGAGCAGAGCTGTCGTAGAGTAGGCAATACGTGGCGGTTGTGCATAGCAACAGGAGCCCGGGACGAGAGACGGGCGCGACGAGTGCGAATAACAACACGGAAACCAACGCACTCTGTTACCCTGGGGACAGCGGACCCGCGCGGGGCTCAGCAATTAAAGCTGTGAAGTGGTTTTAATGAGACAGCCAGGTCGGGGCAATTAGCGAATGGGAAAAGCAGCTTTCCCGGCCCAGGCACGGAAGTTCCACTCGTTGTGCCCTTGGGTCCCAACAGCTGCAGCCAAAAAAACGAGGCACAGACAGAAAACTCAGGGGAGGACTGGGCGGACACGCGGCACTCGTGGAGCCAACATAAGGCACATGGGTGGGACACTCGAAATCATGAGCGAACAATGATTGCTGCTTTAAGGGACTCAAAGGTTTAGGGGGTACAAATGCCATCACACATAATCATCATCCCTGGAAACACAAAGAGATTAATTGAGAAGAAAGCTGGTATTGGTAGCGAAGAGTTTCAGACACGAAGCGTCCAGGGAAGCAAGATTCTCACTCTCTCCTCGCGCAGGTAAAGCAAGCACAGGGAGGCAATCACGGGGACGCCCGCTCGCCCCCACACGCTCCTCTCAGAACACGGAGGCCCAATTGGCCTTCAAGAATCATCGCCGCTCGTCAAGATTCACGCGGGCATCTCAGATTGTGTCACGTTTGTCAGGCAAAGGGCTGCAATTGGGGAGAGATTAGTGGTGGAATCATCAAACGGAGACCGACAGAGAGGTTTACCCACCGTCATCTGTGAGCAAAGGTGGTGTTACACACTCCAGGGGGTCTGTGAGGGGGAGGAGCGCCACCACCAGGGGGGGGGGGGGGGGGGGTAAGGTGAGCATGCCCACACAGTCACCCACGCGGTCACCCATGCCGTCCGATAACACCCTCGCCGCACGTCAGTTAGTGGAGCCCAACATGCATGCGTGTGCGTGCTGTGAAGCTGTGCGTGCGTTTGTGTGTGTTGTAATGGTGGGACGTGTGTGTGTTGTAATGGTGGGACGTGTGTGTGTGGTAATGGTGTTTGTGGCACTGAAAGTATAGTGATGATGGTGATAGTCTATATGTTTGTATGAAATTGTGTGTGATGACGGAGTGTGTGTGTGCATGTGGTATGATGTGGTGGTGTTGTGTGCGTGAGGTGATGATGATATATGTTTGTATGAAATTGTGTGTGATGATGGAGTGTGTGTGTGTGGTATGGATGTGGTGGTGTGTGTGCTCGTGGTGATGATGATGGAGTTTGTTTGGTGAGTATGGGTTGTGTGTTGTGATGAGGGTCTGTGTGTATGTGGGGATGTGTGTGTGGTGATAATGGAACATGTGTGTATTCATGTCACCACTGTACAGCAAGATGAGGGTTCACATGTCTTTATGTGATGCTGTGTGTGTCTATGTTGGTAGTTATTTACGCAAAATGAGTGCACTGGCGAGTACTGCATCGTGCATATGCAGTTTTTGATATGATTCTGTTGATGTGCTGTGTGAATATGTTGGGGAATGGGGTGTGTGAGCACAGGTACATTCACGGTGTGTGAATGCAGGTGCTGTATGCATGCATGGTGCATGCCTGCATGGCATATGTACACCGGTGTGTGAGGGTGGTGAGAGCACGGTGTGCTAGTGCGGTGCGAACACTGTGTGCGAACGCGGCGTGCGAGTGCGATGTGCGTACGTACCCTGCCCGCCTGGGTACATGCAGCGGAAGGCACGGCCCAGCTCCTCGGCCTGCACGCGTCCCGTCGGCGTCAGCTCCCCGCCCCACTTGAGCACCAACAGCAGCGACGGCTCCTCCTTGCGCACGTCTGTGGTGCCCGCACAGTCGCGCCGTCACACATAGCAGTGACATGCATGCAACCACGCCCTGCCATTAGAACCGCAACTACACTTTGTGCCACTACAACTATGTTCCGTGCCACCACTAATACCACCACGCAACCATCACGCCTCGGCACACAACCACAACTGGTTGACGAGTAATGAGGTCACATGGGGAACGTGACAAAGAGGATGGGGTGCACGAAGTAATGGGGGTCACGGAGTAGCATGAGGCAAGGGGGCCAAGCGGAGGCCAGGCATGGTTGGAAGGGGACACTTTATAAGGGCTCAGACAAAATAAAACGGACAAGGTCTCCGCAAAAATCATACTGTAGGGCGTCACCTTGCAGGAGACAGCCACCTTCTCAGGCCCCTTTACAACATGGGCTCAGGGGGTTCCTAAGGGTTCGGGGGTTCCCACATCCTGGGGTTTTGGTGGAGCTCAACGGGTCGAGGACTAGGATTGCGAGGGGCCTTACCGTCGTCCTCGCTGGAGGTCCGCGGCCGCCCGTGCGGCAGATAGGTGATCTGCACCTTGCGGTTTATGCCCGAGAAGTGTCCGTACCTGCACACGGGCGCGGGTGGGCGGGTGAGAGGGCGGCGAGGCCCCAGGTCTCCCATCGCTGTCGGATCGGCATCACCGCGTGCGGCGCGCCGAGTGTGGCATACGTCCCGCACAGCCCGCGGGTCACGAGTGTGTGTGTGCGTGCGGTCACTACACGTGTGTTTACCGTCACCAACGCACGTGTGTGGTCGCATACGCGTGTCTGGGTGTTCTCACGTGACCAGTCATGTACACGAGTTGGCCGTCACGTAGACGAGGGCGACGATCACGTGAGTCTGGTGATGGACATGTGTCAAGAGGCAGTGACATACGCTTGCTCTTGCCAGCTCGTCAATGTGGAACGTCGTCAAACGAACCTCAAATGTCACTGGACGTGACAAGACAGATATTATAAATTTGTCAAAATATGCCACTCGACAATTTACCAAGCGTTATACTCGGTAAGCTGAGTCAGGTTCCTGAACCTGCTGTGAAGAACGGCCATTGCCCGAAACTCCGTTATCTGGGTGATACTGCAGGAGCAGTATATCTCACGAAACAGCGTCTTAAAGTGTATCGAAATCTCTCAATAATCTGCATAAAGACCTCATCCCAAAAAGTCGGTGGATTTTTTCGCTCATCGCTGTCAAAGTCTTTGTTGCTGGAGAGATCCAAAAAAGTCACTCGATTCGTCACGAAAACGATCACCGACTTGGCAACACTGGCCCGTGTGATGGTGATGGTCATGCACCCGTGGGCACGGTCACGTTCACACGTCTGCGGTCACGCGGTGGGAGCTACGGACACATGGAGACGGTGCCAAACGCGTGCGCAAGGTTTTGGACACACGTGAAGAGGTCACGGGTGGTGGCAGTCACGTGAGGAGGTCACGAGACGTGGCAGTGGTCACAGCAGGGGGCGTGTAGTTGTGGGCGCGTGCGTGTGCGTGTGCGTGCTGCAGTAAGGACGTCACCGCGGCTGGAGGGGGTTAAACGATCATCACTTCACGACTGAAGCTTTACTTAACATGGGTTACTCACGGCATCTCACACCACGCATACGAGGAACGTTAACTTCGGTAAGGGAATATAATGCATCAGTTCCAAATGTACAACAAGTGTTAATCATAATAATATTATATCGATGTTGTTATAGAAGGCCACACTGCAGGAGTGGCTGCAGAGCAGCCCTGTGTTTGGTGACTGAGGGAGTTGTGATTGGGGCTCCTTACATGACACCGCACACTGTACACTACACCCACTAAAGCCTGCAAACCACACATCGCACCCTGCACACCACACCCTGCACACTACACGAACACACCACACCCTGCACACCACACATCACATACCATACCCTGCACAACACACACTACACACCGTGTGGGTACTGTGTAAGGAGCCCCGCATTCACCATTTGAAGTTGAGGGTGGCCAGGGTCGGGACAGTACCAGCTCGGTGTAATGTGGGATGGGCCGAGGGTGAGGCGGACGCACTTATATTGAAGGGGAGGTGGGGGGACAGTGGTCTGAGACAGAGGCCAGGCAATGGGGGAGCGATGAAGAATGAATGGAGGCATGAAAAGGGGCAGAGGGAACACGAGAGGGCATGGCATGACATGACATGTCAAGACAACGTATCACAGTCACTGGTGAGAGTGGGCAAGACTGGCAATGAAACTGCAGGGCAGGGCACCGACGCAGGGTGGCAAACGGGCAGGGAAAAAGCACAGTTCACAGCACAGCATGGGAATGGAGTGGTGGGGGATGGGGGGGCAGGCAGGGCAAGACAGGGCAGGGCAGTGTGGGCAGGACATGCAGACAGCCACCGCTGGCTTATACCATGGAAAGCACAGCCGCTCTGGAGGGGCACAGCGCACGCATGGAGACGGGGGGACAACGGCCAGCAGCCAGTGCTCGCGTGGTCAACACAACAGCCAAGATGGAGCCGCCTCCAGCGCCACAACCTCCATCCGCTTCCCGCCTCCAAAGAAATCCACTCCAGGTTTCCCTCTGCCTTTCCTTAACAAGATTCAATTCACATCGACTTGTAAACGCTGGGCGAGTAGGGCGAGCTGCTCAGTTTAATGCAGTCGAATTGTAACCGTATTAACGGCCAATTAAGCTGTCAAAGCAGACGTAACGAGCGGTGGCAGCGCTGCGATGTTGCTGTCGAGGCAAGATTTAGCAGCTCTGACGCCGTCAGCTCCAACGGAGGCCGACACGAGACGTCCGGACTGACGAGGAGGCGGGGGTCTGCGAGGACCGGAGCGCGGGAATCGGGGCTTCACGCACGCTCTGCGCCCTGGAGCCCCACCTTATCCAGCTCCATCTCATCCAGCCCCGCCTTGCCCTCAACCACGTCATGGGGTTGAACGGCGCTGGTGGGACGGTAAAACCTGGAGTGGACTTTACAATGGTAAATTGGGAGCCGGAGCCAACGGCACTTGGCCTGGCATGTGACACCCACGGGAATGGCCGTGTCAATAGCCACTCGACGGCATGGCGTATGTGTGTGTGTATAAGCACATACACATGCGTATATACACACACACACATAAATGAGTGTACCGTCACAGTACCTCGGGATTGCAGAATATTACGGTTACCATATAATGTGCAGTCGCTGTTAACACAGGCACAGCATTTTTCTACACTCGCTGGAGGCAGGACTAATGAAACCGTGAATTTGAGAGGTCAGAATGTGAACGGGGAGAGACGGCGAAGGGAATGAGCACTGATGAGGGTTCATTTTAAAGAAGACACCTACCAGCAGTCAAGTTTTCCATGGTATAAACTGACAGAACGGCAAAAAAGCCACAGTCATTACAGAGAATGCGGAAACCTTTCGCTGTCGACAACGATTGCAGACTCTGCGAGGTCACACTGGCAGCCTTTAACACTGGTCTCCCTTTGCAGGGGAGAGGGGGAGAGGGGGGGTTGTGGGCAGCACGGCGGGGCAGTCAGAACAGAGGAAGCACGGGGACGGGGTAGGGGGGTGCCGGTGAGTACCACAGGGACCCGTCGAGGGGCACCGGCACGGCGGGGGGGGGGGGTGTGTAGGGGGCAGTGGCGGCGCAGGCACAGAGGCCGCCAGTGCTCCGGGTGGCGTCTGAGCAACACGTGATTCGTTAACCTTGGGACGTGGGCGGCAAAGACGCACGGGGGTCGGCGGGCAAGGTGCGCGCGTCGCTTTTTAATGAGAATGGATTCTATGACGTAAAGGGGCGATCGTTAGTGGTGGAGAGAGTGACGCGGTGGAGAAACGCGACCGGCCCACGTGTGGGACCCTCCCCATGGACGGGGGCGAGCAGCCAACGGGGCCCCGCAAATAGAACGCGCGGCCACACGTCCGCTAAATGCGGCGTCGCGCGTCACGTTGGCCGCGCTCGCTACCGCTGAAGGCGCTTCTTTACCTGGGAAACGTAACCAAAGAAAAGCGTGGACAGCACAGGGAGTGTGAGACGGGAAGTGTGGGAGGTGTGGGGCAGGGAGTGCGAGAAAGAGAGAGGAGAGAGTGGGAACAGGGAATGTGGTGTAGGGAGTGCGAGACGGCGAGTCTGGAGTAAGGAGAGTAGGGAGTGTGCGAGAGTAAGGTGCATGTGGCAGTGGTGTTAATCCATAATACCACTGTGGCGCAACCTCTTGCCAATGAGACTTTGAAATTCGTGTGGTCTCAAAGCGCACCTAACCTGGCACAAGCACCGTTAAAATGTCACGGGCGTTAAGTGGCGAAATTGTGGTTGTGGACAGTACAGGGATGTGAAAATCTAAACGCTCAACAGCACTGTAAGTGCTGAAAAAGCAGACAAAAGCACACGCACATATAAAACACACACGCACACCACACACACACCACACACAATATGTGTATGCACACCAGTGCTCTGCTAAAACTGGACACGAGGCATCCCAAATGGCTAGTTATTTCCTTCATCTGCCATTAACGGCCTTGTTTAATGGAAGTGGCTCAGGATAATTAGCATAGTAATTTCTTTCATAATTATCACGTTTGACTCAACAATGTCCCGGTTGCCTGGGCAACTTCATTTCGGAAGCTAAATGCTGATGCAGTAGTGTGCTCCACGGCACAATGTGAACGCGCATATGGTAATTATCATCTCACCACATGACATAATTACCATGCAATCAAGCCCTCGGGGTCACCGTGCAGGCAGCAGCAAGGACATCGACATCTCTCGTGGCTGGCATCTTCGTTGAACCAGCTGGCACCACGCACGCCCAACAGCCAAACACGTGGGCCCCCAATCACAACCACCACCGTGCAAATGCCACTCGTCAACCGCAACCGTGGACGCAGCGACCGTGACCACTAAAGTGCCGTCCGCGACCGCAGTGTTCGTTCTAAACAACCACAAGTGTGCAGGCTTTGACCACCAACCACGATCACACGGGGAACTAACCACACACCGCACCCACTCGAGCGACAGCCCTCTGACCGTGACGCGCTAACCACTCATGCGAGATCTGCACGGCTTATCAAGATGGGTCCTTGCTGTGGCAGGTATTTCCTGCTTGGGGAGGTATTTCCTGTTTGGAGTTGTTCTCTTTTGTCAACAGAACAGACGCGGAAGATGCGGACACCTAATGCATCAAGTGAAAAAAATCAAAGACGCTTCTATCTACGACTGCGGCTACGAACTCCAAACCGTGGACCAAATAACCTGGCACAGCCTCTAATATAACACGTGACGGCGGAGGGTGGGGTGCGTCTGCAATTCACCAACTGTCAAAGCAACCGAACAGCTGAATTACTTCCAAATGAACATCTAACGGCTGCGCTGCTGCATAAGGCACATAAAAAAACTGAACAAACACACGCAAAGTAAATGTCCCTTCCGATGAAACGGTCCCTGTGCGTTTTGTGACATGATCACACGGCAATCTCAGCCAGGGGCTGATGGGAACGTCTCGCTCCGTAACAATTGCAGGGAGGCAGTCGGGCACGCCACGTTTAATGAGAGACGTTCCATGCACGAAGGCGCCAAGCGCAGCGACAGTCGCCCCCCGGGTTCCCGCGGCGCTCGAGCTCCCTCTTTCGTTTGGGGTGGTTCAAACAAAGCGAGCTGACTTACGTTCGAGAAAACGTTATCTCATTTAACGCCAGTGAACAAATTGTGCAGTAAATTCTATTCCTCCTGTAACGTAATAGTCATGCTGTGATCACGTTTTATTCTCCTTGCTGTGTTTTCTCTTTATCCCACAGAGTAAATGTGGTGACCAAGGTCACTCTTGCAAATGAGACTCTTCTGGTCTCTCGAGTTCCCACCCGGTTAAAACAAAATAAACTCAAGTGGGACGCGTTCGAGTGGGTGGACGCGTGCTAGTGTGTGTGCACGTGTGAATCAACTTGCGCACGTTACGCGATGGGCATGCACACGCCTTGCAGGTGAGCGATGTGTGCATGCGCGCACACACGACCGCAACAGGGCACGGGTGGATGCTCGTGCGCGTACGCGCGTGTCCGAGTGCGGCTCTTGCCCAGCATGCCCACGTGCCGCGTGCACGTCAGCGTGACGGCGCGTACGTGCGATGTGCTGCTGCGGCTATGAATCGCGAAGCGCGGCCGCTCACTCACATCTCCAGGACGGTCTTGAGCTGCTCAAGCTTGGCTTTGTTCTCCTCGATCTCAGTGTCGTTCTTTTGGTCGAACTCAGACAGCAACAGCCGTGCAATGTCGAGCACCTCCTGGGGGTCACGCCACCACTTCCACGTTACACGCCGCGCCATGCCGTGCCACACTGTGCCACACCGTGGCACACCGCACCACGCCCAACTCCACCATGCTGTGGCTCCATGCCACACCCCAAGCGATGCGCCAAAATGTGTAAATTAGTCGTTCACGATAAAACGCAGGGCCACACACCGCACTGCGCAACACTCCGTGGGCCAAACCGCCGTTCCACAACACAACATGCATTACGCACTAGGCCACACCAACGATACACGCTACCACATTCAACAACACCCTGTGTGTGACACACCACACCACAATAAGCCACAACAACCATCTTCACCAACCGCAACAACCATTACACGCAACATTACACATCGGCGGCATACCACACATGTGGCACCAACTACAACTGCTTTACGGTGGCGGTGTGGCACAGCTGGTGGCGGTGGAAGTGCCTGCGCTGCTCAGTATGGGCACTGACCTGCAGCTGCTTGGGTTTCTTCAGCTTCAGTTTCCCCGTTCTGTGGCCGTCGTATTTATCGAACAGCTCGAAGAACCTGGCGCCCAGCATTTAAACACACGAGGAGCATGTGCATGCATGATGCGACGACACCCATTTAGCACGGGCAAGTGTTGTTACTGAGCACCTATTAAGGTGGGTACAATCAACACGCAAGTGAATGGAATGGTGGGCACCAAGCTCAACCACCTTTGTCTGTCCAGGAGCGGTACAAATTTTAGAGTGAGTTCAGGTAGGTGGTCAAGCATTCCCCGGTTATGCCAGGCACAGGTTCCCCTCAACCGCGTGCCGGTAATGTTCCTGTTGGGATGCGAGTCCGTCATTATCACAGAGTGCGGTTGTTGATTGAAGGAGCTGGTTTAATGTGGCGGCCATGCAGGGGGGGGGGGGGGCACACACCGTGGATGCCGGACCTCCATCTTCATCTTCTGCTTGGGGGTTCGGTCACCGTGCCGGATCACGGCAATCACGCACCGCAGCTCCATCCTGCTCACGTGCACGGCACACAGACACGCGCGGACAACAGCAGCAACAGTAACGACCGCAATTCGCCAATAAGTGGCGATGACATAACCACAGCGCTTATGCCAGGCTAGGTGCACTCTGAGGCTTTTACGTGAAGGCTCACTGGAAGGCGATCACGGGACATGCCAGGTGTTATGGGTTGACTTACTGAGATCAATTGCAGATGCAAAAACAAAGATCTCACGTATAGCCTTAACAACCTGTTGGGGCAAGTGCCGTTAGCGAGCACCTATGAAGGCCGGCACGGCAGACGAGGGGGTGGCTGGCCAACACCACACCCGGCCGCCTTTGCCTTCCCAGTGGTAATGTTTACATACCACGATAAGTACTCATTTGAGGCTGAGTCGACCTAGGGGATACTCAGGACTGGTTCAGATAATCGTCACTGGTGTTGGCCATGAGCGAGAATCGAACTCGGGTTGTCGGGTTCGAAATGCAGCACGCTAACGATTGCGCTATCACTCCTCACAACACACACATACAAGCACACACACACACATGCATACATAGTCGCAATCGCAAACACTATGCGTGCACATGTATCACTGACAGAGAGCAACGGACAGGAACCTTGAAAATGAATGACCGTACTCGTGAGCGGCTTTGGTAATGAGCGACTACGGTAATAAGTGACCGGTGCAGCACTAAGGTTGTAGCGAGCACGGGGCTGGGGCAGGTGGTGCGGGTGCGGGTGCGGTGCCAGCAGGGACGCAGTACCCACATGGTGCCGGAGGTGGTGGGCACGATGGGGATGTCCTCCGCCTCCGTGGGGATCGACCACGGGATGTGGAATTGTGAGCCCAGCTCGCGCATGATTATATTTCTGCAACACACGCAGACAAAAGGCAGCGCACAGCGGATTGAATCACACTCCCCATTAATCACCCCGGTCTTCATTTCACATCCCAGGCAACGTCCTTAGCAGGGAACATAGTGGGTGCCGCTTTACAAGATTACGAGGATAAGCGAGGCCCACCTAATCGCAAAGCTCGTGATCGCCCTCCGGCCACCGAGGCCTTCTTAATCACAACGTACGGCGGGGCAGGGAAGCGGTTACAGAGCCCAGTGAATGGCTTAATGGAAAATAATGCGACACAAAAAACCCCTCGTATGTTCGGAGCAAAGGTTAGGAACACAGTTAAGATTATGATTGAGGGTAAGTGAGTGGTGTTAGGGTTAGGATTAGGGGTAAGGCTCGTGTTAAGAGTAGGCGCTATACAGGGATCGCACGTCTATTGGATTATCAAGCATGTTCTTGTGTCCGGCGATCGATGCACACTTGTCAGGCGGTGGCTCCGCCAGGATTTACAACCATCACGTCGTGCCGCGGTGTGTCAGGTTGCGCTGTGTTGTATTCCAGTGCATTGCGTCGTGTTATGATTTGGTTCACGGTGCTCTATTACAATGTGTTGCCTCCTGCTGTGTATTACCCATGGCGTGTTGCATTGTGCTGCCACGTTGCGTGACACCGTGCCGCGCGGTGTAGCATTGCGCCGCCGCTCACCCCAGTATCTTGGCGCAGTCGTCGTAGTACTTCATGGAGTTCTTGACGAAGCTGAAGCCGTTGACGTCGCATACGTACGAGTTGCCGTTGGCGCGCAGCAGGTCGAACCCGCACACCGTTTGCTGCGGACCGCACACGAGGATGCGACGTCAGGGCCTCGCATGTGGCCTCGCATGTGGCCAAACAGGAAACGGCCAAGCCAACAGGAAGTGCACACCTAATACGGATCATCTCGCTCCTACCTTGAAGGCCATGCACACTTTGCGGGCGATGAGCTTCTCGCGGGCATTGAGGATGACCGGGTAGCGAACCTCCTTGCCCTCGGCATCGCGCTCCACCTTCCCGTCGAGCGCGGGAGACTTGCGCGCTTCCGCGTGCGCGTAGTCCGGCCCCACCGTGTACACCTGCCCGGCACGTGTGTCGTGAATTTATAAGGGCAGACACAAAAATCCCCCGTATGGCCTTTATACACTGGGGCAAGTGCTGTGAGCGAGCACCTAAGGACAGCATTGCACACGATACAAAGGACGCCACTTATTTTGGAGATGTCTGCTACAGGAATTGTTCCCCACCTTGACGTCGGTGCCGTCTGTGGGCATGAACTCCTCGTAGATGTAGGAACCGGTCTTGCGCACGGTGCTCTCGGGAGAGTACACACTGCTGCGACTCCCGATCTAAATGCACGCGCACATCACCACCGACAAGTCACTATACACACATCGGTAGGGCTGTTGATCAATAACGATTAAGTTATTAATTGAATATTGATTTCAAAAGTCATTAAACTAATAATTTAATCCAGTTCGACTTAACCAATGGCCACATGCGAACGTTCAACCCACACGCGCACTCCACTGTCGTTGATAAACGCGGCAGCCACCGTGAGCCACCAGTAGCAGGGCTCACCAGCAACCGCGTGGTACTTTCCAATAAGCACACAAACGCACACATGCACACACAGGGCTGGACTTTTATTTTAATAGTGCTCACCTGGTTAAACAAAATAAACTTGATATAAAGTGAAGGAAAAAGAGTATTTGATCCCCTGCTAATTTTGTACGTTTGCCCACTGACAAAGAAATGATCAGTCTATAATTTTAATGGTAGGTTTATTTGAACAGTGAGAGACAGAATAACAACAACAAAATCCAGAAAAACGCATGTAAAAAATGTTATAAATTGATTTGCATTTTAATGAGGGAAAAAATTATTTGACCCCTCTGCAAAACATGACTTAGTACTTGGTGGCAAAACCCTTGTTGGCAATCACAGAGGTCAGACGTTTCTTGTAGTTTGCCACCAGGTTTGCACACATCTCAGGAGGGATTTTGTCCCACTCCTCTTTGCAGATCTTCTCCAAATCATTAAGGTTTCGAGGCTGACGTTTGGCAACTCGAACCTTCAGCTCCCTCCACAGATTTTCGATGGGATTAAGGTCTGGAGACTGGCTAGGCCACTCCAGGACCTTAATGTGCTTCTTCTTGAGCCACTCCTTTGTTGCCTTGGCCGTGTGTTTTGGATCATTGTCATGCTGGAATACCCATCCACGACCCATTTTCAATGCCCTGGCTGAGGGAAGGAGGTTCTCACCCAAGATTTGACGGTACATGGCCCCGTCCATCGTCCCTTTGATGCGGTGAAGTTGTCCTGTCCCCTTAGCAAAAAAACACCCCCAAAGCATAATGTTTCCACCTCCATGTTTGACGGTGGGGATGGTGTTCTTGGGGTCATAGGCTGCATTCCTCCTCCAAACACGGCGAGTTGAGTTGATGCTAAAGAGCTCCATTTTGGTCTCATATGACCACAACACTTTCACCCAGTTGTCCTCTGAATCATTCAGATGTTCATTGGAAAACTTCAGACGAGCATATATATGTGCTTTCGTGAGCAGGGTGACCTTGCGGGCGCTGCAGGATTTCAGTCCTTCACGGCGTAATGTGTTACCAATTGTTTTCTTGGTGACTATGGTCCCAGCTGCCTTGAGATCATTGACAAGATCCTCCCGTGTAGTTATGGGCTGATTCCTCACCGTTCTCATGATCATTGCAACTCCACAAGGTGAGATCTTGCATAGAGCCCCAGGCCGAGGGAGATTTACAGTTCTTTTGTGTTTCTTCCATTTGCGAATAATCGCACCAACTGTTGTCACCTTCTCACCAAGCTGCTTGGCAATGGTCTTGTAGCCCATTCCAGCCTTGTGTAGGTCTACAATCTTGTCCCTGACATCCTTGGAGAGCTCTTTGGTCTTGGCCATGGTGGAGCGTTTGGAATCTGATTGATTGATTGCTTCTGTGGACAGGTGTCTTTTATACAGGTAACAAGCTGAGATTAGGAGCACTCCCTTTAAGAGTGTGCTTCTAATCCCAGCTCGTTACCTGTATAAAAGACACCTGGGAGCCAGAAATCTTTCTGATTGAGAGGAGGTCAAATACTTATTTCCCTCATTAAAATGCAAATCAATTTATAACATTTTTGACATGCGTTTTTCTGGATTTTTTGTTGTTATTCTCTCTCACTATTCAAATAAACCTACCATTAAAATTATAGACTGATCATTTCTTTGTCAGTGGGCAAAAGTACAAAATCAGCAGGGGATCAAATACTTTTTTCCCTCACTGTATGTGTAAGACAAACCAATAATAGATATTTAACGTTTTGTTTGCAGGCAACTATTGAAGACGCTAAAACAACTGAATTAACTACCCTACGCAAGTTCACAATCGTACAGCGAGCCGATCGTGGCCCCCTGAGAGGCTGCAGGCCCCGGCATGGCGATAGAGAGTAGGGCTGAACGATTTGGGGAAAATCTCTAATTGCGATTTTTCTGACAGATATTGCGATTGCGATTTGACTTGGGATTACATTTTTTTAAGTCACGCTTCACTTCAATATTCACTGTGCAATAGATTTAAAACATGTGATGGAGCATTACCACATGATACCATCAGAATATGAACTGCTCTATATATTCTAATGCAAGGATGAGACCTTAAAATATATTGTTTCCAACATGTATTTATTAAAATGTTTTAATTGAAATAGAATAATCAAACATAGAACAATTGTTAAGTTAAATAGATAGTTATAATAATGAAAAATAAAACATTGTAATAAGAAAGTAATAGGACTTTTCAAATCGCAAAAAATCGCAGCAGTTGTGATTTGATAATCGCATTGTTTCAAATAGCGATTTCGATTAGAAATTGATTACTCGTTCAGCCTTAAAGGAGAGGGAGGCCGATGCTGCCCCTGTGCCCCTATGCCTGTGTGGCGCGCACCTTGCGGAAGAGACGCTGGCTGCCCCCTCCAGCTGACGTGGGGTAGTAGATGTACACGTTGTGATCCTCGGCACAGACTGGCTTCTCCACAAACGGCTTCTGGAAAACCTCCCCGTTAATCTCCACGTGGTCCTCACTCTCCACCAAGTTACAGTCTGCATCCAGGTGGAACCGGGGGGAAGGAGGGCACACACACAAGACAAAGATGCCATATTCAGACTTACAGACTGATGGATAAATTGCTATTAGTGAGTACCCATTGAGGCTGGCACAGCACACAAGGGGTTGTTAATATTTAAACACTAATACAAGGTACTCATTTAATGCCGAGTTGCCCGAGCAGAAGCCCAGGACAGGTTCGCACTTCAAATGCCACTGGTGTTGTTAAAAGCTGGGGAAAATATCCCAGGTCAAGAATTAGTTTCATCAATGTATCGTTCGGGCCCTAACCCTAACACACCCGCACACTTGGGCACAAGAGGCTCCATGGCGGAAAGACGCTGTCGCGGACGCTACCTTCGGGGCGGTTGGGATCCCGGTTGAGGACGGCAAAGCGGGGCAGGTCGATTCCCTCCTCCTTGAGAATCCGATAAACCTCGCGCCTGCCCTCGCACATACGACCAAGGACACAGGATCCAGCAACTGCACACAGCACAGCCGATTCGTGCGAAATTCCGCCACTCGATACAGAGCAACGGGAGAACAGAAACTTCACCTGGATCTTACCTGCCCTGACAGTCACGCATTGTGATCTGTCGTGTGTCCACGCCTCGTGTACAGACTGGTACACCTGTGCTGCATGCAGGTGTACTGTGTCTGCCGACTTAGCATATCTATGGTGTGAGTGTGTGTGACGTGCATACATCTCTCTTGTTTTTGCATCGTTGGATTTGGCTCCCTGTATCTAAATTAGTGGAATATAAGATCACGTAGTTCGTATTTAAGCCTTGAGGGATAGTTCCACTATATCTGGAACTAACTCAATCTGATGCCACTTAAAGGTATTTAAAATCTGCCGATAGTGCCCTCTTATGTATAAACCCCGATCTCAGCTGCGTTCTTGAGGTGATCGGCTGTTTACTGTAGTGGTCCCCCAGTTGTGGCATTCCCTACCACTAGACATCAGGCTCTCCAACAGTGTTGTTGATCTTATTAAAACACCTTTCCTCTAATCGGATTTGTTCCTCTCTAGCTACTCTTTTGCCAGCCGGTTCATTCTTTATTATATTCGTCCCTTGCATGCGCAGCACCTGGAGACGTTGTGAAAGGCGCATAATACGTGTAAATAAATACGCACGCTACGTACACGTGTGTGTGCACGGCGGTTGCGCACCTGTCCTGGATGTGGTACTGCATGTCGAGGTCGTTGACGATGAAGGGGTTGCGTAGCCTCGCGTAGCACACGGCCTTGTCCAGCGGGAAGCCTGCTAAGCAGTGCAATCATAAGGTTTACATCCCGGAGTAATTCACCGCACACGCACGCACAATCCCACCTGCATCACGGCTACAGTCAAGTTTCCTCACTGGTCGTGTTAAACGCGGTTCTTTGTCTTTACGCTGCACGGAGCACGCAGCAGGTGGCGATGTTAACGACAAGCGCGAAGCGTGCATGGGTTGTGGTCAGCAGGGCAGCGGTACGTGGCGACACCCCCAATCCCACATTTACAGCACTCGTGTGCTGCCTGCTCCACCTGCTTTCTGCTCATTAACACGAATATGTTTATACATCCCCCCCCCTCTAGGACCAAATTAATGTAGCTAAGATGCTTGCAGTGATGATTAAATTGCATTTGTTGGCTGTTATTAAATGGTAGGCCTCGTGGCCAGGGCCTTATGAAATTAAGTTGTGGGCAGCAAGTTTCCTACCCTTGGACTATGAGTTTGGATCAGTGTTAATTTCTAGTTGGTCAAATTGATAAGGGTTAGGGCTGGAACTTGTGTATGGCTGGCTGGTTTGTTTGTTCAGGCTGACGGATAGTATTAGGTTTGATTTGACTGATTTGGTTAGCGTTAAGGCTCAGGCATATGTCTGAATTGAGATTGGGTGACGGATACTGTTAGGATCGAGTATACTAGTTTGCTTAAAAGTTAGGGCTAGGCCCAGTTTTTGGTTGTCTTGTGCAGTTTAGAGCAAGGGTAGTGATAAGAGTCGTATTGGTTAACGTTAGGACTAGTGTAGCTCGTATTATGCAAGAGGACTCTACCCTCTATCGGTGCCCCTCTCTTCCAGTGTGCCCAGGTACCCAGGTGTATGCAGGTAGAGGGTTAGGGAGAGTTGAGGAGGGTGGAGCAGGGTGCTGGAGGGGTGGAGGAGGGATGGGGTGGGTGGAGGAGGCTTTAGAAAAGTTAATGAGCATTGAGGTGGCTTGGGGAGGGTTGAAAGTTGAGGAGGGTAAAGAGGCTTGAGGAGGGTTGAGGAGGTACCTTTTGAGTGGAAAGACACGAGGCAGTCACAGAGCGGCCAATTCTCAACGGGCTCGTTAAGGATGACCTCCTCGTCAAAGATGACCACAGTGATGTACTTGAACTTGCAGAGGCGATCTAATATCTGGGTCATGGGCTTCGACTTGGACTTCTTGGCCATGGCACAGATGCCCACCACAATTTGACGCTCGGGCGGCTGCGGGGACAGGGGAGAATATCTTCATATACCTCTTCCTTCACACACCCCACTCCGCATCCACACATCCCACTCTTCCTTCACGCACCACACTCCTCCTTCATGCACCTCACTCCTTCATCCACCCAGTGCCGGATTAAGCTAGTGCAGGGCCTGTAGCAAATGTTATAAAGGGGCCTTAAATAAAAAAAAAAAACACATACATATTAAAACACGCATTTTTAACTTGCTTAGTTAAGTAATTGTATTTTTTCATTTGCTATACAGCCAGATAATGCGACATATCGCTAACCTTAAACACCCAGTCGTTCATAAAAGTTGAAGGCAGTATTGTACTATAGTAAGAGAGCAAGTGCAGAATCACTGAGCCGGAATTGATAGCTTGAAAGCATTTAGCGCAAGGCCCTTGAAAGTGCGGGGCCCGTAGTATATGCTAATTTTTCTACTAGGATAATCCGGCACTGCATCCACCTTACTCCTTTACATGCCTCTCTCCCCCTTCATAGATCTCACTCCTTCACACACTATACTCCTCCTTCACACACCTCACTCCTTCATGCCCATCACTCCAGCAGGTCCAGTCTCGATTTGAGGACAATGTCTCTAGGCCACGAGGTATTCCATGGTGACACTGGTGATGGTTTTTCATTACGCATTTTCTTTGTGCCAAGTGACACCGTTGCAAACGAGATGCTCCATCTCAACGGATTATCCAGGTGAAACACGACAGTGGTTGGTGATGGTAATATTGATGGTGATAGGGTAAGTACAATGATGACAGTTGTGATGATAAGAGTTGTGATAATAATCATGATGATCATTAGGGGAACCATGGTAATGATTATGACGATGGAGATAGTTGTGATGGGCAAAGTGTTGGTAGCTGGTAGTAGTGGGTGGTGTTAATGATAATGGATCTTGCTAGTTAAAATTATGAAAATGTTAATGACAATTATGGTAATGATGTTAAACATTACAATGGCGATTATGTTGACGATGACTGTTGTGATGACAGTTGTGATTATTTGTTGACTTAAACTTTCGTGACTGCAGGGATTCATATTCTTGGTTCTTTCGGTAAAGTCACGTAGAAGGGAAACACAAATTTTTCAAATTTTCTTGCTGTGGTTTTCACACCTGATGATGAGTGCTTGTGTTGCAGTCGAAACGTCGTGAGAATTTTATTGTTTTATATTTTTATTATTTTATTGTTTGCCTTCTACGTGACTTTACCGAAAGAACCAAGAATATAGTTGTGATTATGTTGATGATGATGATTGTGGTGATGACAGTTGTGATCATGTTGATGATGATGATTGTGGTGATGACAATTGTGATTATGTTGATGATTGTGTTGATGGCAATTGTGATTATGTTGATGATTGTGGTGATGACAGTTGTGATTATGTTGATGATGATGACTGTGTTGATGACAGTTGTGATTATGTTGATGATTGTGTTGATGACAATTGTGATTATGTTGATGATGACTGTTGATGACAACTGTGATTATGTTGATGATGATTGTGTTGATGACAATTGTGATTATGTTGATGATGATTGTGGTGATGACAGTTGTGATTATGTTGATGATGATGACTGTTGTGACGACAGCTGTGATTATGTTGATGGTCATGACAGCTGTGATGATGATGCTGTTGACCCGTTGGGTGGACCTCCTCACCGACTCGTCCTCGTCGTCGTCGTAGTAGAGGTCACTATCCTCGTTCCGGAAGCTGCCATACTCCTCGTCGTCATCATCATCGTCGTCGTCGCCCACGAAGAACCGCGCCCCCCCCTCGCTCTGCGACGAGGACCTCCTGCTCCTCTGGCTCCCCTCGCCGCGGGTACCCTCGCCGACCCCGTCCCGCGCCCCCTCGCCGACCCCAGATCCCGCTGCGTCCCTGCCAGCTGCCGTCTCTTCGCACTCCTTCACCTCCTCCACCTCATCGCCAGGGGTCTCCACCCTCGTCTCAGGGGGGTCTTCACTCCGCTCGACCCCACACGGGGGCGCGGAGTCGCTGTCCCCACGCTCCCCCGCGACATCCCCGCAGCGCAGGGCACCGGGAGACGCCGCCTCGGGGGGGGCGAGTCCCCCTCGCCGCTCCTGCTCGCCGCCCGGGAACCCCGGGGTCCCCTCGCGGGACATGAACCCCGGCCTCAGCGCATGGGGCGGGCCGGCTCAGGCACCTCCCTGCCTGTCGGGGGCTCTCGTCGCTGCGAGTGGAGACGCGCAGGAAGACAACCTCAGGGCCCCCTCCTCCGCCCCTCTAGATCCCCTCGGTGCCCTGGGTCCCCGCGGGGCCCCGGGCCTTACGCCGGCGCCGTCAAATTCTCTGCAATGAACCCCAGCGCGCATGCGCCGTGTGACCGTGACATCGCCCGCAGGTGCTGATGCCAAATCCGGGGCCCGTCAGAAACCCCGTGCGCGGCCACACTGCGCATGCGCGCGCGCTCGCTCACTCGCTCGCACCTTATATGCATCTACGTTAAATCTATTTTGTATGACAGCGAACCGATTGAAAAATAACCGGTTAGCGGTTTCTCACACATCCAGCACAGTATTGTGTATATACATGCGTGGAGCACTAAACATGGCACGTGTGTAACCGAGAGACGAAGGCAGCTGCCACAGTGGAGTGTGTGAATGTCAGCTGCACGCCGGAGTCGCAATGCAGAGGTCGTGGTTCGAGTCGCTCTCCCGCCGGGCAGTCGAAGCAATGGGGAGAGTTTCTTAACCCCGCGCCCGCCCGCCACTTTCACACCAAGCAGAAGAAGAAGGATGACGATGATGATGGTGGCGCGGTGGGGTAAAGTGTGGGCACGCCCGCCTACAACCCTCTGGAGCTCTCTCCAGGGGAGCCGCACGCGCCGTGCCGTTTGGACGCCCGCCGCGCGTGACGCAATCGGCGACGCAATCGTTCCTAAGCAAGCCACAGCGAACGGTTACCGGTTTTCAGGGTTGTTTTTAACAAGAACCTGCCGTGAATGTCAAACAGCAGCAGCAGCATTCGTCACGGCCACCAGGGGCGGTGCTCGCTGGGAGCCGCGCTTTGACCTTGGCGCGTCCCTCGCCCGCTCGGCCTTTGAAGTGTGTGACCCTGCGGGAGACGTTGAAGTGTGTGACCCTGCGGGAGACGTTGAAGTGTGTGACCCTGCGGGAGACGTTGAAGTGTGTGACCCTGCGGGAGACGTTAAAGTGTGTGACCCTGCGGGAGACGTTAAAGTGTGTGACCCTGCGGGAGACGTTGAAGTGTGTGACCCTGCGGGAGACGTTAAAGTGTGTGACCCTGAAAGTGTGTGACCCTGCGGGAGACGTTAAAGTGTGTGACCCTGAAAGTGTGTGACCCTGCGGGAGACGTTGAAGTGTGTGACCCTGCGGGAGACGTTAAAGTGTGTGACCCTGCGGGAGACGTTAAAGTGTGTGACCCTGAAAGTGTGTGACCCTGCGGGAGACGTTAAAGTGTGTGACCCTGAAAGTGTGTGACCCTGCGGGAGACGTTGAAGTGTGTGACCCTGCGGGAGACGTTGAAGTGTGTGACCCCGCGGGAGACGTTAAAGTGTGTGACCCTGCGGGAGACGTTAAAGTGTGTGACCCTGCGGGAGACGTTAAAGTGTGTGACCCTGCGGGAGACGTTGAAGTGTGTGACCCTGCGGGAGACGTTGAATTGTGTGACCCTGCGGGAGACGTTAAAGTGTGTGACCCTGCGGGAGACGTTGAAGTGTGTGACCCTGCGGGAGACGTTGAAGTGTGTGACCCTGCGGGAGACGTTGAAGTGTTGACCCTGCGGGAGACGTTGAAGTGTGTGACCCTGCGGGAGACGTTGAAGTGTGTGACCCTGCGGGAGACGTTGAAGTGTGTGACCCTGCGGGAGACGTTGAAGTGTGTGACCCTGCGGGAGACGTTGAAGTGTGTGACCCTGCGGGAGACGTTGAAGTGTGTGACCCTGCGGGAGACGTTGAAGTGTGTGACCCTGCGGGAGACGTTAAAGTGTGTGACCCTGCGGGAGACGTTAAAGTGTGTGACCCTGCGGGAGACGTTAAAGTGTGTGACCCTGCGGGAGACGCCGCCACCCCACAGCTCCCCGCAGTCGTGTGGGGTGGACGAGAAGAGCCTAGAGCCCCGCTTTGCTGCTATGGCACGGGGTATCGGGGCTTCACGCCTCCCAAGTCCCGGAATGCGCTCTCGTCTCCCAGCATCACACGGGGCTTTAAAAAGGTTTTACACAAATAGGCGCAACGACACGCATTGTCTAACACAGTGACTGACACTACCACACACAGGGCCTTACACTAACACACAGTGACTCACACTATCACACAGTGTCTCACACTAACACACAGTGACTCACACTAACACACAGTGACTCACACTACTACACACAGTGACACTACTACACACAGTGACTCACACTAACACACAGTGACTCACACTAACACACAGGGTTTTGCACTAACACAGGGTCTCACACTAACACAGTGACTCACACTAACACAGTGACTTACACTAACACAGAGCCTTACACTAACACACAGTGACTCACACTAACACACAGGGTCTCACACTGACACACAGTCTCACACTAACACAGTCTCACACAGACACTTACAGGTTGACACGCGGCTTGGGGTGGAGACAGAGGGAGCCCCTCGCGTGGTGGAGACGTGGCCCAGTGGGACCCGGGAGGAAGAGGAATTGTCAGTGAGGGGGCTCTGTGGAGGGAACCAGGCGACACCTCGGCCGCTCTCGCGAGGACCCCTGGAGGGAGGTTCCACCTTTGCCCTTCCCCACCTGAGCCCCACGGTGACAAAGGTCGCTGTGGCCCAAGGGAGGAAACCAGGGACTCCAGGGGCTCCCGGGGCAGCGGGGAGTGCCCCCCTGCTCGGGCTAACCCCTCTGGCCACCAGTCTCCTGTGAGCAGAGAGGCAGGGGGCTTCTTGGTCACCTTGTCGCTCGGATGCGGCGCGGCTCCCACCAACACCACTCGCCGTCATCCTCGTTACCCAGGTCACGTCATCCTCGTTACCGAGGTCACGTCATCCTCGTTACCGAGGTCACGTAATCCCCGTTACCGAGGTCACGTCATCCTCGTTACCGAGGTCACGTCATCCTCGTTACCGAGGTCACGTAATCCCCGTTACCGAGGTCACGTCATCCTCGTTACCGAGGTCACGTAATCCCCGTTACCGAGGTCACGTCATCCTCGTTACCGAGGTCACGTCATCCCGGTCGCCATCAGGATCTTACCCCTGAAACTGAGGTTTTGGTTGCCCTTTGGGAACCATGATGATAATAAAAACAATAATTTAAAACTGTTTGGTCAACTTACTCCTGAATGAAGGCCTGCAATCGCAGTGTCTGCTATACTTCACCAGGCTGTTCGATGCAGCTTGTGGTTTGGGAGCATGTAAGTGTCGTATAATGGTGGATGTTGCTGTACTGCCTTCCTGTTGCTCACCGCGTTGCATCGCAGCCGTTCAGATGCCATTCGCCACTGATGTTAGCCGTGGCCGTGAAACGAACTCTGGATCACAGGATTCATAGCGGGAGTGCGCCATCCACTCTGCCACTGATCTCCGCCAATTAATCACGGATCACCACAATTCCTCGCCCTGTACCGCGTTCAGTCTCTGCTTGTGTGATTTTATTTCACTACGAATGTTTTTGTAAAGCCATTTCTCCGAGGCAAACTTTCGTTACAGGAAATGTATATTATTTAATAAGCCATATTTGTGCACTGATTTAGTTATTCTGTCATGAAGTTGTTGTTGGTCGTCTAATTGCTTCATGACATCACTCTTTTTGTTTGTTGTATTGCTTTGTAATTTTTGTGACCGAGGTCTCTCTTGAGAATTACACTATCCTGGTGCCTTGAGTTCTCACCACTTGGTTACTACACAGAAGACCATTGGATGTGAACCCACGTGGGGTCTTCATTGCAGCAGCGATGTGGAGCATCCACGCGGTGGCGCTGTGAGCTCACGTGAGATCCCAAAGTTGTTGACGGAGAGTTTTCAATTCACCTTTTTAGTCAGATAAGCGGCGTTTAACTGATAGGACGGATTCAAATGTATACGCCGTTTTACCAAACAATATCTAGCTCACAAACAGGATAACATAATGCATGTACACGTTTATATATTATCTTACTTTTGCGTATGGGGTGCAGTGATGATGCGCGCACTGCATATTTTGGAAGCCAGCGACCGGGTTCAACTCCCAGCCACGGCGAACATCAAGGGCGGGTGATAGCCGAATGGGTCCTGGCCTCCCCTCGCCGGCCCCTTCCTCCAACCCGCACTGGCCAGCGTGGACAACTCGTCAAATCAACCAGTGACTGACACGGCTCTCATCCAGCAGTAGATTCTACAGGGTTGTAAAGTCATTTCAATTTAGGACCAGTGGATGAGTTTAAGCAACATGTGACAGCGCCAGGCCCATGTGCTGCACGCGGCTACCTATAACCTACTCCCGAGATGTGTACCCTGGCTCACCAGGAGACGGTACAACAACGTGTGGACTAATATAATTCGTCCGTTCCATGTGGGATGGAGCGATGGCTTCTCCCACGCGTGGGTTTTCTCTGGGCGCTCCAGTTTCCTCCCACATCTATAAACATTCGTGAATTGGCCTAAAACATCTTGATATATTGAGGACCGCAGAGCTTGGTAAATTGTCACGGACTCTCCACCTGGTTGCTGCTGCCGTCCAATTTTCGTCTGTGGATCGTCGGTGATTGTGAAAGAAGTAAATTTGCATGAAAGACGCCATCTATAAAACTAGTCTCATTGTTTAATTTGATCTCAGTTGTAACGCCACGTGCACAGTAGTGCACGACGACCGCAGCAGCCACAAGAGTCGATGTTGGGTTTGGAGTGGCAAGTTACTCAACTTACTTGGATAAATGTCGATTCGAATAAACCGAGTTATCTCCTACTTCTTAATAAAACCCCCGTGTGCGATAGGAGACGCACATATGCACACACAATAGCCGCCGTTCGCCACGAAGTAGCAGTGATGTCACCACAGCGCCTGTGCCAGGCCAGGTGCACTTTGAGGTCATGTGAAGTATCAAGAGCTCGCTGACAGGTCATGGAACAGACCGACGTGCTAATTTTGTAGGGGTGATGGTAAGGCTCCATTTCTTAGGGGCAGGCTCCAGGTTCAGCAGTCATATCTCCAACTCTCATAGTGGGCAGCAATTACCAGCTCATCGACATGCGTAAGATTGACCAATAGGCAGCCATTCCCTGACCGCATCAATCAGCTTTCCACTGTATATGTACCAAATGGAAATTCCTCTGGTACAGCTATGGAAATCTTCGAGAACTGCGTGGTAGATGTTAAATAGTGTAGGGGCCAGAAGACATACATGTCGCACCACAAGGTGAACAGAAAATTACTGCGACTTCCAGCCGTATACACATACACACACACGTGCTCACACACACAAAAGTAGCACACGTGACTGGGCAGTGTACACCGCGACAAGAGACCACACGAATTCAGGGCCAGACCGCAGCTCGCTTTAATTTAAACGTGTTAAAATTCAGTTTATAAATTATATGTACACGTTTGTTTTGCTTTATACATCCACTGCCTGTACAATTAAACTCTACATGCCATACACATCACACTTTGCTTTTAGACCTTTGTAAATATAGAGAATCTCTCAACAAATCTTGCATGTTCATCTCGTTACGGCTCATGCCACATTCAGAGCGTTTTGTCACACTGAGCTAAAGTGCGAGTAGGGGGCGGCAGTCCTGGCCACCCAACATGGCCCGTGGCTCCGGGGGCTCGCCATCCGCGGGCTGTGGCCGGAGCCACGGCCCCGAGGTCTGTTCGGGATGGCACCACGGATTCTGGTACCACGGATCCTGGCGACGGCCCCCGGTGGCTGCTCGAGGCCGGCTACACGAGGGCCTGGAACCAGAGCTGATGCTCGGCCGCTCGGGGGGACGGTGCACAGCAGCTGCGGGGCGGAGCAGGCCAGGTTGGCCACCGCGGGGTCTGCGGCAGAG